AACCATTCTTGCCTCAGAGACTAAAATCGTAGGCAATATCCCCCATTATCAAAATATGCTGAGCTCTTTAGTCTTTCAAGGGACTGTGTTCATTTTTTCAATATTACTGTGAAGATTTTAATGAGCTAAAGTGTTTTTGCCCAAAATTCTCCGGCTGGTGGCACGAGTTCCAGAAGAGATGCTGACATTTTACATGTAGATGGGTCCTCAATGAAGGAACGCTTGCCTAAAAAGGGGGATTTAAGAGATTTTAGAAAAGTCCATTTTTACCTCCAAAATACCAAATATTTGCTTTATTTTCATTAGTAGCCTAGGATCTTTTTGTTTCACTATTTCTAAATGTTATAGAGACCTTTAAAATTACTAAACTGTGGACTCTTACACATATGTAAATGCTATCATCTTTCTTTAAATACATACATGATTATAATGAACAAATGTAAAATTTAGGAATTTGAAAATAATGAACAGATTTTAACTGGCAGATAGGGACTTATGATCAAAGGGTCAGTTCATACAGCTGTAATTTTATGTAGGTGTGGCAGAGTTTAAACAAAAACAGCCTTTTTCTTTGAAAACAAAAGCTATTGCTTCTCAGACTCTAGTCAACTTCTTAATTGTAGGGACAGAAAAACCAGGTGAGCACCTCAAGAATCAGGAGATTGGAGTCCAAGTTGGTGTTCTGTTCCATGGCAGCCTGACACTCCTCTCTTTCCTTGTCTACTTTCATTATTGCTCAGTCCCAATTTAAAAACTCTAGAAGGCTATTTACCCATGCTACTGTAACCTTTAATATTATTTTCCTTTACAATATTTCATGATGGACAAGCATATCAGAGGCTGGCAAAATACCAAAAATGTATTTTCTGGTGACAGAAAACTGATGAACTGTTTTTAAAAATCAAATTTAGTGTAGGGGAACAATATTCAATTCACACCTATAACTGTAATTAAAAGCATTTCCTTTAAGAGACATTGGGATGTAGGTCAGTGATAAATACATTAAATAAAAGAGATATGAAATTACATTATATATGATAAATTTAAGGTTAAAATTTAATTGATGCTTTTAGCTAAATAATAATATGAAGGCTTAAAGCATATTTGTTCATTGATTTGGGCTATTTACTGAGGGCATCTTTTACCTACCCTGTCCAGGAAGTCAGGAGGACTCTGTGTACATAAAAGACAATCTGTCTTCCCATTTGGAGCTCATAATTCATCAGAGGAAGACACTCTGGCCCCTCCCTCCCAAAGAAAGACACTGGCTGTTTCTTATCAAATCTTAGTTAAACCTTATAGGAACCTGGTGAGGAATGACCATTAAAGTTGGGCTTTATCTTTTGGGGTCCTAATTAGTGAGGGAATTTTTAAACCTTCTCTGATTTTAAAAATTTTAGTTTTGCTTAGGTTGAACTATTGATACTTTGAGTTAGCTTTTTGTTGCTTCTTTCCTTTCTCATTTGAGAAACCCTCTCTACCCCAAGATTATAGAGTTTTTTCTTCCTCTCTCTATTTTTTAGAAGACATTTTCTCCCAAGTGTTTTTAAAGTTTCCTTTTCATACTTAAAAATTCTATACTTTCGGAACTGACTTCAAACATGTTGTGAGGTAGGGACTCTATTTCTTTAACCCCACCATATATAAATATTTGTCACACAGGGACGCATTTAATAGTACATTTTCCCCTGCTAGGTGTGGAAGAGCCTCCATCACACACCATGATTCCATGCCTGTGAAGAATTAGTTCTGAACTTTATACCCATTGTTTTTAGTCTATTTGTCTATCCCTAAGATTCTAACTTTCATTACATAAACTACATGGCATTTATCACGTTATTTGTGATAATCAGGACGCATCTTTTGTCTTGTTAGCAAATTGTTAAGAAATCAATAGCTATGACTCATTCATATTTTTCTCTCACATGTATATGTGTGGTGTGTATATGTATGTAGGATTGGTTACATGTATTGAAGCACCTGTGTGAGTGTGAATACACAGAAGGTGGCTCCTGAAGTAGACACTGATGGTCTTTGTCAATCACTTTCCACTTTACTTATTGAGAAAAAAAAATCTCCCACTGAACCCAGAGCTCACTAATTCTAGCTAATCTAGACAGCCAGCTTATCCTGGGGATCCCTCATCCCTATCTCTTAAGTACTGGGATTACAAATGACTACTTGTTATACCTGGTTGGTTTTCATGTGGGTATCCAACTATTGTCTTCATGCTTGCATGACAAGTGCTTTTATCCAATGAGCCATCTCTCCAGCCCCATTCATCTTCTTATTTCTCACAGCATCTAAATAGGTATTTCTAGATCGCAGGTTCCTCTGCTAAATAAGGGATAAGCTCAGCAACAATGCTGTAGAAGCAGAGCCACAGATACATCTCACTTATGAGTTATTCTCTAAGCAGACTTCATGTGTGTATTATTGCAATCTTCTTACTTTCTGTACTCTTAATGCTATGGCAGCTGGGACCTTGCAAATTAGAGAGGAACTGTCCCTCCTACTGTTTCTTAACTGTAAAAATACCAAACTCCTCACCAGAGAAAGTATGGTTTTTTTCATACGTAAATGAATCAATGTAAGCTCACTCAAGTCCATCTACTCTTGCCTTTCTTACTCCAGGCCCAGGTCCCAGGCAACTAGATAGTCACATGTTCTAGAGTTCACTGAGGTCACTTACAGCAGTCCGCTCACCCTGCCTTGCCTTGCTTTCCCCATGGAAAAGACAGCAGAGATTGTTCCCCATATTTTCTTTCTCTGCCTCTTGATTGAACCTGGAAGATTGCCTCTATGGCTCTTATGTCCAGAGACAAGTGAAATAAACCTTTCTCCTAATTACTATCATTTTATTTACATGCATTAATATAACTGATTAAACATAGCCCAAGTACATTTAAACAGCAAGCGAATATGCAAGTAACCTATTAGCTGGGCCCTGACTTCATTCTAAACAACTGATAGTGGGCAGGTGAGAAACAACAACATTTTCTGTTGGTTTCCTGCAGTACTGGTGATCAGTTCCAAGGCCTCACACATGCTAGGCAAGTGCTACCTCTGAGCCACATGCCCAAGCCCCATCAGATGACATTCTGTATCCTAAAAGCCCAGCTAACAAGAGTTTCCTTTTTTTTCCATTTATGCAGAAATTGTTCCCTTAAGAACAGAAAGTTTAGTTCAGAACAGTGATAATCCTTAAGCCTCTTCATATTACAGTTTGTCCTTTCCACAGCTGAAAGGATGAACTCTTGAACTGTGTGTACTGATTCTCCATGTTAGTATTTCAAAGAACAAAGTATTTGGAGGAGTTAATCGCAGCATGGTGCATCATACAGAGTTACACAGCTCACTACCCTAAGCAGTCAGATGCATACTCTGAAATGGGATCAAGACTAATCTTTCCCAAGGACAAACAAAAGAAGCATTCATCCAATTTTCTTTCCTTTCAATAAAAATAATTACATCTGGTTCATCTTTAAAAACATTCAAGTGAGATTCATCACTAGATCCATAGAACCATCATGGTGAGGTCTCATCTATACTAGACCTACACAAGCTGTTTATTTCATAAATGCGCTAACAATTCTCCAGTAATTCAAAGGGTTTTACAACTGTAAAATAATTCAGTGGGGAGGGTTAGGGACTGCACAGCATTGGAGGCCAGTTCCACCTCAGGCACTTACTGGTATTTTCCAGTCAGGTGGCATGATTTCTCTGTGTCATACAAAATAGAAACAGAGAGATTTAGTCTGCTTGCCATATAAAATTAGAATTCTTAAATCCTATTTAAGTTCACAGTATTGGCAGAATTTTACCAATATCATTTATGCTCGTTGTATGGCATCTTAATGTTGTAATACAAAGGATTTCAAAAAATAACAGACACTATAGCTAACTTAGGTTTTATATCACAATGAAAATTAAAGTTTACTTGATTAAAAATTATTTAAAATAAAACTTTAGCCTTTATTTTTAGTTTTGAGTGATTTTTAGCATTTAAAATGGGCTTTTATTTCTTATATGCTTCCTGGCTCAAACCCTAAATGCTGGGATTACAGTGGATGCCACCATAACCAGTGAGAATTCTTAGATCACTTATTTCTTTAGGCATATGCAGTGTGGGGGGAGCGTATATGCGTGGGAGTATAGGTGCCTTGTGCGTGCATGAAGAAGCCAGAAGTTGGGTGTCTTCCTATATCAACCTCTACTTTGGTGTTTAAAACTGGGCCTTTTGTTGAGTAGAAAGCTTGCCTTTTCTGCTAGACTGGCTGGCCAGCGAGTTCCCAGGGTCCGCCTGTCTCTGCCTGCAATGCTGAAGTTAAAGCACAATTATACTCAGATTTTGCTTTTGTGCTTCAGTTAATAACTTCTTTATTCAGGAAAAGCAAGTCAAGATCATATTCATATAAAACACTGACATTACAGTTCCACGAATAATAATAACTATTATTATTTTAGTGGGGCTAACATTACAGGATGCTGTAAGAAGATGACAGGTTTGAGCAGACAGAGATCTCACTGATGTGGATGCCCTTCTGAGTAGTAGCAGGCCACTGTTGTTTATTTTAAAACTATGACCCATTATCACACATATATGTCAAAATTTTACATTATGTGTATCAAATATTTTATAATAATTAAAAATTAAATAATAAGACAGCCATTCCTCTTATTCTACAAGTATAGCACATATAAGCTAAAATAGTATTATTTTCTGTTTCCAAAGACCTTGGGATGGGTACCATCATTTCTTAGCATAGGAGACATTAGTCATAAGCAAGGCAGGCTTCCTCTCACATCTGCCTTATTTCAAAATTCATTCCATCCAAGACTCTAAGAATTCACAAGCAATATGAGCAGGTGACAGGAACTGCAACTCCAATGTGGTTGGAAGAGGCATTCCCACTGCGCCGCTAAGGGGTTCAGGTGTCCGAGGCAGGGAACTCTGGCACCTCCTATTTGTAGCAGTAATCCTTCTCACACACAATTACCTGTTAAGTTTGAAGCATCAGCAGGACTCAGTTGTAACCAGTGGCGGGCATCAGAGTCTGGCACAGCATCTGTGGGAGTGTTGAGTTCTGGGTCCTCATCACAAGTCTGCCATGGGCTCATGGGTAGCTCTGTCTCAGTGTTGGAGCCCAAAGCTGTGTCGCTACCAGTACTTTCACCTGGCACACAGAGCAACCAAAGTTTGAGACTGCAGCTATATGAAGATAAGGTTCAAAATTATCTCCATGGAAGTAACAACACTTGCACAGCTGACAGGCTTTGCTCAGAGGTTTGGGCTGAACCTGAAGAACTTGGTTAGGGTTCAGTAATGTCCCCGTTGAACACTTATTTAATAAAAATACATCTTCCAAGGACTGGGCATTAAAAGGCTTCATAATGCAGCAATCTTATCAATGTCTTTCTTCAATTATTCCTTGTGTTTCAAAGTTACACCAAGTCCCAGGTCCTATCAAGATCCACCCACGACATGAGGAGATAAACAGGAGGAATATGGTGGTAACTGACTTCACAGCACTGCAAATTTACTCTGCTATTGCAAACCCAATGTTTAGACGTAAGCCCAGGCTGAATCATGCTGGCAGATTCTGGAACGAGGTGTCCTACTACTACAGATCTGCAGCACTGCAAATCTTATCCTTTAAACACTAGAATTGCTCATTTGTCACAAGGTAATCATGCAGAGATTTAAAGACTTAAGTAGTTATTTATCTAATTGTGCACAAGGCAATCTAGACCATTCTGCTGCCTGACAGCAGAGCTGCCTGCCTGACAGTTCTACTACCTAACAATGCTGACAGCTCCTGAGCTGCACTGTCTCTACTGCTGTCCTCTAGCTATTTGCAAGAACTGAGAATTGTCTTAATAAGCAGATGATCCATCTGCTGGGTCTCACAGCACATCCTCCCCAGAGCTACAGGCAGCAAAGAGGGAAGGCAGTGTGTGGGAGGAGCTGCAGTACACACCATCGAGGGCCAGCCGGGTGTGCAGCACACCACCGAGGGCCAGCCGGGTGTGCAGCACACCACCGAGGGCCAGCCGGGTGTGTAGCACACCATTGAGGGACAGCCGGGTGTACAGCAAACCACTGAGGGCCAGCCGGGTGTGCAGCACACCACCGAGGGCCAGCCGGGTGTGCAGCACACCACCGAGGGCCAGCCGGGTGTGCAGCACACCACCGAGGGCCAGCCGGGTGTGCAGCACACCACTGAGGGCCAGCCGGGTGTGCAGCACACCACCGAGGGCCAGCCGGGTGTGCAGCACACCACCGAGGGCCAGCCGGGTGTGCAGCACACCACCGAGGGCCAGCCGGGTGTGTAGCACACCACCGAGGGCCAGCCGGGTGTGTAGCACACCATCGAGGGACAGCTGGGTGTACAGCAAACCATCGAGGGACAGCTGGGTGGGTAGCACACCAGGTGGGTGTGCCCCTGCCACACTGCTCCCACTCTGCCACACTGACAAGGAGGAAACCTGGCCTCTAAGTACAAAAGAACAGAGCACAGGGTCCAGACTTCATAACATCTCAAGATTCCAGGCAGATTTTATTTTCACACACTTGCCCAATGACTTCAACGTACCTCTGAAGCTTTGTGTTTCTTCCCTGTGGGGACTTTGTGGGAAAGGTAGCTTTTATTTATGGGTCTGTCTGCTCCCCTAAGTCTCTCTTGTTCCTCTTATCTGGGGAAAGGCCCAGGGATGGAGCGATAGGCCTCTTGGGTATATATAATAGGCTGAAACTGTTCTACTGACTAAATTAACTACATGACTTCGAAGTTCCTGGATAAAAATTTTCTACAACCACCCCCTCCTTACTGACAAGACAAGCACTCCATTTTGAAAAGAAGAAACCACAGCAGGTCCACTCTGCACTAGGCAAGAGCAGACCCCATTTCCTGGAACTTACTCTTCTGTCTCTCCCTGCATCTTCCTTGTGTCTGCTGTAAATCATCCTTCAGATCCAGCTCAGCAGGACTGCTGCTCCTTCGAACCAAGATCTTCAGACAAAAAGAAATGCTGCTTTCATTACCGGAAAGGTGAAACTTTTACCCGACTCTTAAGTTCCTAGCCTATTTTTAAATAAAAGAAGCAATAATAGTAACGAAACACTGAATGGTGTTTTCCTTTTGAAGAATGCATTCACCAGCTAGTATAATTAAGTTATATGTTTCTCAAGATCTGAAACTCCAGTTCATATTTTCTACTGACACAGCTGAATGGATATACCAAGAAGGAATGCCAAATCCTGTGGAAGTGGTTTATTTTGAAGTTCTATTTGCTTCTCTAGTCAAGTGCACACACAGTCCCAAAATTCTGCAGGAGGCCTGAGCTCCCTGTGAATGTTTAGGCAGGAAAAACACGTACTCTACCCAGACTTCCAAAGGGCTGCTCAGAACCTTCCTAGTTAATATACTACAGAAACTTCTGAGCGCTGGTAAACACGGGGCCTTATGTTAAACACGGGGCCTTATGTTAAACACAAAGGATTAAGAACAGGAGGCAACCTGCATCTTCTAGCAATTTATAGTTTTCTTGGAGGAACAAAACATACACAAACTATACAAAATAAAATAATAATGTTCATAAGTAAAACAGGCAAATAAAGTCTGCGAAAGGTATGTAAAATAAAGTGTTACCTTAATCAGTTGACAGTTACAGGAGAGCGGTTCAAGAAGGCAACAGACATGAAGTGGTAGAGGGAAGGCAGGAGGGAACTCAAAGCAGGAAGTACGGACTGGTAATCAGCAAGTTCTATGTGCAGGAAAGGGAGCTGATTATAGCAGGCCATGCAGAACAGCCAGGAGGAGAAGGAAAGAGAGGAGAAACGCAGATTTTGTTAAAGAAGCAGTGGCCAGGGAGCCTGTAACAAGAGGTTTAGAACTCTGGACCTAACACTGACTGCATGAGCAACTGTACCTTATGGACAGTAGCTAAGTGTGCTTAACCCATAACCAGAAGGGCAGTTCCAGCACTTGTGCCTGTGGTGCGTGCGGGAAGAGAGGGCTGCTAAGGGAACTGCCAGAGCAGTAAATGAGCAGGGAAGGAAGGAAAGAGAAGAATGCTGCAGTGGAGGACTGCAGCTTTCCACAGCATGTGAGCAAAAGAAGGTTGTCACAGAACCATGAGAATGACAGTGACAAATGAAGGCAGAGAGAAAAGTAGAAAGGACAAATGTTGAGAATTTTTTTATGTCTTTAGGCTGAATAGTAAAAGGCAATGTTCATTAAGTGTGGGGGGGGGGCGAATGATAGGACAGAGAAGATAGTCAGGAATGAGATACAAATTCAAGCTTTAGGATATACCAAAAAAAACATACAATCCCAAAGTCACGAGATTCAGGAGTCATTTAAAGCAATTAAAAAGAAAGGGAGAAAATGTATAATTATAGTTACTTGTCTATAAAGAATCATGAATAAAGTATTTACAAAATTCATGGTATATGAAAAATTACTACACAGCCTTAATAAACAGTGATTTATATCAAATGACCCAAATAGAAATAGGCTCATCTTTCCTTAACTACAAAGTAGAATGTTTTTGCTTCCAATGTTGGGGAGACAAGATGCCCTCCAAGTGTAGAAACTCATGACACTTCATTTGCACACTGGGGCTCACAGGAAGCATAACTTCAGGGTCCCTATGCTCTGTCCTCTTAGGAGAACAGAAGGAACAGAGCTCAGGGAAATCCAATGACGTATTGTACAGTGAGTGCTATCATTGCTAGTGGCAAAGGACTGAGAAGCAGGATCACAGTGGCACTTCCTGATCCCTTGAAGATGAAAATGCAAATGCTGTCCTGAAGAGTCCTCATCAGTTAGACAGTCAGGGTTCTCACAGATTCCATCAGCCACAAGAGTAACCCACAAGAATCAGCAAACAACTCGGGAACAAACCACCATAAGAGCAGCAAAAACCTCCAGACAGAATTAGACTCCAGAGGATTGCAGCAAACCAGGTAGAGAATGTGGAATTAGGATTTGTGAGCATTTTAAAGGTGTAAAATATGAAAATAATAAAAATGGCCAAATAACAAGATATACTTAAAAGAATACATTTGAACTTAGAAGCGAAAGTACACTTGTGAGGTAAAAAAACCCACCTCAACAGAACCTTGAAAGCCCAAACCTCCTCCAAGTAGAGAAAGCGATCCATAGGAAACTCTGCTTGCATTCTGAAACTCACAGGAAGTATCTCCAAAGCTATCTCCTAATGTCAGATTGACTGAACTGGTGAAAGACAGAGGACGCTTTTATTGGTGAAACAACCCAGAATATGTCCACAGGTTCAAGGAGAATGGACAATATGAAAGAAACTTAGGAGACATGGGGGGCAGGATAAGCAAGTCTAGTATTACTTCTATCTAGAATTCTGGAACAAAAGAGAAGATTGAATCAAAGTGTGACTATTTGAAGGAATTATTACAAGATTTCTCCAAAAGAACAGAAGAAAAGTAACCACAGATGCACAGACATAGCATATACCAGAATGGGCAAATGCATATGCCAAATTAAATCTATACCTAGCAGTCAAACTTAAAGTCAAGGACAAAGACCAGCAAGAAACAACAAGACAAGATGGAGAGAAGGCATCGTAACAGCACCAAGGAAAGACAAAGAGTACTAGAAAGAAAAACTACCTTCCATTAGAAGAGGCAGAGAGGAGGAGAAGGAAGCAAACTGTGGTCGTTAAGATGCTGTGGTTCTGTTCAGAGACAAAACACCTGAGGAGCAAAATCAAGGCTGATATGTCCAGGAAACAGAATATATGACAGAGATGGGCCTTTCAGATAAATAAAGGAAAAACAGATTTAATAGATAAGACCTCAGGCTAGGTGGTGGTCACACATGCCTTTAATCCCAGCAGTCGGGAGGCAGAGGCAGGTGGATATCTGTGAGTTCGAGATCAGCCTGGTCTACAAAGTTATTTCCAGGACAGCTATGGCTGTTACACAGAGAAACTCTTTCTCAAAAAACCAAAAATAGATAATAGAGAGAGAAATGAGGCCTCTAACAAACATTTGGGAGAGGGGTTGGAGCATCCCTCCTTCATAATCAAGAGCCACCTCCAGGTGAATAAAAGACTTGAAAGCGTGGAGCAAAAGTGAATCATTTTATAGGATAAAAATAAGGGAGTACTTTATCCTTTAGTAGCTAGAATCCCTTAATCCATAAAATTCTACCATAATAAAACTATGAAAAAGAAGGATTTGTATTTACCAAAGACACCACAGTGAAAAACAGCCACACACAGAGAAGATGTCTGTTACAAACATAATCAAAATAAAATCAGTAGCCAGTCACTATTCAGACTATACAAAGAACTAATACAAGTAAAAGAAAGGAAAGCAAATGAGAAAAGCCATCAACTTTCATTTCACAGATGAAATATAAACAATCAACACGAAAACTTTAAACCTTATTAGTAATCTAAGAAATTCAAATAAGACATCCCATTTCCATGTGGTTGGCCTGCAAAAATTTCAGTGCTGGTGAGACTCTTTACATTGCTGATAGAGATAAGACAGCTACAAACATTTGGGAAAGGAGCATTATCATGTAGAGAACAATCTTTGCATAATCTATTTGTCTACGGCTAGACAGTCACACAGAGAAACATTTGAACATGGAGAGATATTGAGGAAAGTCTGAGAAAGTCCACGGCTAAATCTTTCAGAAAACTAAAATACTGGAAAGAATCAACAGAAGAATGGAAAAATAAGTGATATATTCATACTGGAATATCACACAGCAGAGAAAACTCGGATGAATCAAGTACTACAAAATACCATGTGGATATTCTACAGACATACAACTGAGTGAAAAAAACAACAGTACCCACAGAGATTTCAGAAACTTCAGAAACTAAGTAATATATTGTTTGGAGCCACATACATGTGAATGTATGTAAAACACAGCCAACACCATGCCACTGTGAAGGGAGGCAAAAGCAAAGGACTGAAAAACAAAACAAAACTGGTGGCCAAAGCAACAGAACCAGAACTGTTCTGGTGCCTGGGCAGGAATGGGTTCATCTGGATCTGCTTGATTATGAAATGCAAGATCTATACAGAAAAGCTGATGTATGTCTTTCTGAAACCCAAAAACACAGGAACTCAACTCTGCTATCTTCCGAAGAGGTGGGAGCAAGGAAGGAATTTGTCTGTTCTATAGCTAAGCTTTATATAAATATATACTATTTTAAATCACAAACAGAGGTTTATCTGAAAGAATGAGTTATAGGCCATTTCTTCTTTATGTTTTATATTTTGTTTTTTTAATAAATGCCTTTTTTTTTTACAAAATAAAACAAAAACACACAAAATCTTTAGGAATACTGTGTCAGGTAGGGAATCTAAAATGAAGAATTTACAGGCAAGTACACCTGCTCAAAGTGAACTGTACAACATGAGACCAGTCAGTAAATTCTATTTCATGCTAACCTCCCTGCCCCCGTTTTTGTAGAATGACTGTATTTTACATAGAAAGCAAGTACAACCTTAAGTGACTTAAAGATTATTTGGACCTATAATCAATCTAAATGGGAAAATATCAAAACTATCAGCAAAAAATCCATTATCATGGTATAATTTATGCTTGGTGATAGCAACAGAGAGATTTTCTCTAGGAAATCTTACTGTTATTCCTTCATGTTCTCGTTTCACGTGTTCTTTACTCTCTTGAAGAGACCTGGGTTCTGAAGAGCTCAAATTTTGTGAGTTTTCTACCTTTTGACCTAGAGATAGAAGTAAAAATGATAAAATGAATGTTTAGAAAGGTAAAATAGGAGACAAACAGACAGACAGGTAAGCAGGCAGGCAGACTGGCAGAGGCAGAAACAGATAGATAAACCATGCATCTAGATATCATAGGTTATACTCATAAATTATGGGTCTGCAGCATCTCCAGCCCCAATCTACACAGAGACCTGGTCTATAGCCCACAGATAGCTTCAGTTGGAGCAAATGCAACACTGTTCACTGTGGCTCATAGGGGCACTTAGTCCACTATGCTGGACAGGGGCATATGACACATCACCGTGGGGAGGTGGGTTTGGGGACGGCATCTGACAAAAGATCTGCCTGAGTTGGCCTGTGAAGCAACAGGAAGGGAACAACAGGACAGCTCTGGGTTGCCTGAATAGAAAGACTAGCACGAGAAAGCAAAAACAGCTTCAACAATTTAAAAGGGGATACTGCCACATAGCCAGCAAAGATTTAAGAAAAGATCATAAAAGCATCTGAAGAACAATCTGCAGCCATTAAATTTGAAAGAAATTAACGAATAGAACCAGTTTCTAGAAAAACATCAAAATCAAATTCAGAAAATCAAAGTAGTATCATAGTCCTTTAATTTAAATTTTTACTTGGCAAATAATGCATGTTTATCTTATATAACATGCTGTTTTGAAATCTACATACAGAAATCATCTTAAGCAGCATATGTACTATGACACACACCCACATGGGCAGAGTACTTGTCTCCTCTTGGCCAGGCATAGTGGTACATGCCAGTAAGCTAGCCCCCAGAGACCAGGGAGTGTACTGCAAGTTCCAGGCCAGACTGGGCTAATGGAGACGCTGTTAGAAACCAAGCAATGCTTTCTGAGCTCTTCAGAAAGGAAGCACACTGTACTGTGCACTAGAATCCTGGAGCTTTTCTTCTCTCAGGTGAAGTTTGTTAAAATCTGAAAGGATTTGAAAACCCTTTTTATAGGAAAACCTCAAGCAACTGGTGGGTTCTCTCAAATACTTAAGGGATATTTTTTTCTTTGTTTCTCCTAGTAGTCCTCAGAATTAAACTCGTGGCCTCCTATATGTTAGACAAGTATTCTACCACCAAGTATATAGCCATATCCACACAAAAGCCTTTAAGGAGTAGAAAATTTTCAGATAATATCTTTTCTCAGCTTTATTTTTTGCTATAATTTCTTATTTCAAGAGGGTTTCTAAGGAAAAGTTTCCCTCCTCGTTTGCTGACCCTGATATTAGAAGACACAGGATAACCTGTTGATAAACAGGGCAGGATGTTTTCTGACTGATTCATGGAAATAAAGTGGCTGACCTATGGAACTAAAGGCAGCACATTTACTGACGCTGTACACGCTGAAGAGTGTTTTTTCACTATATGATACACTACTCTCTGTCTGCAGCTTCAGTAACAACTGACTCCCTCCTCCCCTTCCACACCCTGATGCTGCAGAAAGCTAGACCAACCCAATGCATGCTCCAGGGATTTTTCTGACCTCAGTGAAGCCTGCGAGTTGCTAATAAACTTTTACACAGCTGGTCAGCCTTCGTGCCCACTTCAGCTCTTCCCAATGCCTGACCCTCACTGCCTCTCGTGCTTCCTACTACAAGGTTTCTTCACTTTGGGAACTCTCTGTCTCTCCCTCTCCAGCCACTTCAGACTCCTCTCTAGTTTCCAGTCATGCCAAACTTGAGGAGCGTGTATCAGAAAAATATGTTAAATAGAAAGAGTTTCACTTCCAGAAGTCACATTCTTACAGTCAAATGACAAGGTGACTACCTGGGCTGGGGAGATGGCTCAATGGCAAAGTGCCTGCTGCACAAGCATCAGGACCTGAGCTTAGATTCCCCAGGCCATGTAAAAAGCTGGATGAGGCAGCATGGGGCTGCAACCTGGGGCAGAGCAGGGGGAGGTAAGAGGCTCCTTAGAGCTCACAGGTAAGCTTTCACACTAGCGAAAAGGTCTGCTTCAAAATAAATAAAGAAATAAGTAAGTTGAAAGCCATCAAGGAAAGATAGTTCAGGTTAACCTCTGGCCTCCAGACATATGCACATATACACGCACCCACACTAACAACACGTACATAACATGCAAGACCCCTTCTTCCTTGAAGCAGATATTTAAATAAATGTAATAAGCAACACCACCTGCAGCTTACCCCTATCCCAAGCCCACATCTATAGCTTTCACTAGTAACTGAGGACTCAGTCAGCACCAGGGTAATTACTCCTTGTACTTGGGAGGCAGAGGCAGGAGGAAACTTGCAAGTTTGAGGCCGGCTTCATCAACAAACTGAGTTCTGGGGTGGGGGGTGAGGGGGAGAGGGAGAGAGAGAGAGAGACCCTGTTTCAAAATCAATCAGTGGATCAGACAAACATTAAAGATCCCACATACCTTGAGAAGGCTCAGTGATGTCAGAGGTGCTGCTGCTCCGGGGGACCTGCTGCTGTCCCACCACAAGATAATCAGAGTCGGCTGTGGGTGTACTCTCTGCCTGCTGGAATTCCTCCACTTCTGGAAGCATTAACACAAAACACAGGACTGTGGTTGGCGATTTTTTAAAAAGCATTTCACACTTAGCTGATTTAAACATTAAGTTTCATATTGTTTTTAGAAGCCAGGCTACAGTAAAATAATCTGCATGCACGTCACCAAACATCCATATTTATTAACACTAAGATTCCGCTCCATGATACATTTTTCAAGCTACAATTAGCCTTCTGTTTTCCAGGTGAAGGAAAAAGGGTGAGGGAAGAAAATCACACACACATAAAAAAAGGTCAATAACTCTAAGTCATTTGAAATTTCCTAGCAGGAAGGGTAACTCAGCCATGTTGGAAATGCATAGACAGATAAATAATACTTGAGAAAGCACAGTTGGAACCCCCCAACATTAAATAAAGATGAAAGGAAACAGGAATTCCAACTGTACTATTCCTTCTAACAGCTAATGCACAACTGTGCAAAATAGAATGCTATTTAAACCTCCTATTACCATGTGCAGATCTGAAATAGTCACTAAGCACAAAATTGATCCATGTGGTATAAAATGGAAAACCAAAGAAAATTTTGCTAATATTTTACATCCTCTATTTCCCTGGAGATGGGTTCCCTTCTAGCTCATTTCTAAAGCACAGAGTTCATTTTAGGACCAGCCACAGCACCTACCACTCACCTGAGATCTGTAGTCTCAGGATTGCGTCATCATCTGCCTAAATCATCAGAAAAGCCTGCTAACTAGCTACTGTCTCCTTTCTGCTATTCTCTCCATGGCTGTCCAAGAGGCCCCTCTAAAGTGAAGGTGTAACCGTGTCTGCCATTAGTCCACCTGGCCTGTCTCAACCCTACCTCACAAGTTGCTCCCCAATCATCATTTAAGAGCTCCCACTCTCTCTAGTCTCAGCAATACTGATCCTCTTGGCTCCCGCTGTTCTCGTTCTCTCTCTCTCTCTCTCTCTCTCTCTCTCTCTCTCTCTCTCTCTCCTGCTCTTCACTCCCCTCTGCTAATCTTACCCAGGTCCCCTATCCCTCACTGTAGTGTTGCACCAAGTACAAACCACGATACTTCTTGCTATACATTCAGCATGCAAAGTCACTGCTCAGTTCTACACTAGACTCCAAACTCACTGATGCTATCATAAAATTTCATATCCGTACACCCATATCACCATATTTTCCAAAATAAAAAAATTAAGCAGTAAAAGTTTTACTACTTTTAAGAAGAGAGTTCTCAAAACTCAATCTATATTATCTAAATTGGCTATGCCACTGGTTTCTCATCTGGAATGGAGATTCACTGCCAATACAGCTCATTCACCTGGACATAACCCGCAGGAAAGGCTCACTCCAGCTAAGGAGATGTGCGTACACAGGATGATTCTGAGTTTAATGTATGGGATTTCCACAAAGGGTTGTTGTTCTGCTTTTTTCTTCCCAAATGAAAATTCCATTTTCTACTACACTAGTGTAATTACAAGGCTCAAATCTATGAGTTTTGTGTGAATCAAAACTATGAATCAAAGTTCTATCATCTTAAAACACAGTTTAAAGATGGATGCTTAATGGGAACCTGAAAGAACATAGGCTAAGAGAGCATGAAAAGACAATTTCATCTTTCCCAGGCCATCTCTGCCTACTGCTTCTCTTGAGCAGCAAAGAACTATTCATTTTTTCCATAGAGGATACTCAAGGCATATGTGCATATTTTAAGTCTACCTATATATCCCAGAGCAAAGACTAGGCTCTTTTTGCAAGTCTTTAGCATCAGGCCCCTCAACACTTTGGGACCAGCCCTTCTAGTTACCTTCTTATTCTAATTTTGCAAGATGGCTAAATGAAGATACTGTATTTGTCACTCCTGTATCAGTAGAGGGAGCCCAAGAGCTTCCTAACTATCTGAGAAATAATTGGCCAGGGCCCATTTTTGTGGACAGAGGGAGGAGTGGTTTTTGTTTTTTTCTTTTCTCTGAAGCCTGGTGCCAAACACTAATGGATGCCAGTTTCTGGGTTCTGAGCAGAAGTAAATAAGAGCAGAGCCAACACTGGCAGCATCTTTCTGAAGATAAAGAACATCGCCATCTGGCGGGATGCAACACAGCCACAGCACCATGGCTTCCAAATTAGAGTGTCCCCACTGGTCCTCAACACAGCAGACGGAGGACAGGAGCCTGCTACCACCAGCTGTCTGCCTTCCCAACAGGCGGGCCTAATACATCTTTTAAGGCTTTGTTTTTGCAAAACTGTTAAGAGGGACTTCTCAGATGGAGATAATCCAAGGCTGTAGAAAGAACCGGAAATGTCAGGGATGGAAGAATGAGAGACTAGAGTGCAAGGAAGAAGACAGCCACATACCTTAGCGTTCTGTTAGGGTCTACACTTGAAGTTGACTGTCAATTGAGAAAATGTGTAAAAAAGAATTTACAATTATTCTTATGTCATAATATAAATCCAATTCGCTGATTTGAAGGTGCACATTTCATGGACTTTTGTGTGTGCCACACTATCTGTATTCAATAAGAGCTCTATGCAAATGGATAAGAGAATGACACTTGAACGCCTTTTCCTTCCTAATGGTTCTTGAGCTCCCTCTGCTGACATGTTGTTGTCGAAGAAAGCGTTGGGCTAAGGCTGCTCCCATTCTACTGTGTCCTGATGAGCTGCTCTTTTGTAACTAATGAAAATGATTTTAACACTGGTATAAAATATAAAGGCTTGGATTTGTCTGTCAAACAGAAAAGGAACATCTGAGTTACATAACAATTGTACAATAAATCTCAGATTCAATGCATCCTGTTTCGCATGTCACACAATTTCTGTTTCAATCACTTTGAAGTGCTGAATTCTGCCTCAGAGTCTAAGTTCATTTATCTTCTGTGAAGTCCAATAACACCAGATTTAAAAGCACTAACTTTCCTGTCTCTTGAGGATGTAGTTACTCAACACCATCACTAACCCACTGCTTTCTAAAGCTCCATTGAAAACATCAGCAAAATGATCTTAAGGACCGCTTCTCTTCCCCACGAAGAGTCGGCATGACTGAACTAAATGTGCCAGCTCTTCCGTTAGCTTCTATTTTCTCCAGATGTCTGTCTCCTTTTTACTCACTCTTTAATTGCAGACTTCCTTATTCCATCTTATTAAATGAAGCAAGGCTCTGTCTCTAAAAAACAAAATACTCTTCCATTTAACTCCTGCACAATGCTACACAAGCAAAATTAGAACGTAAGGTCCTAACTTGAAAAACACCAATCATGAAGCCAACTTGCCTTCTAAAAGCTCAGGGACTCTAATATATATATATATATATATATATATATATATATATATATATATATATATCACCTTAGATGTCCACAAGGTAAGCTTCTGAGAGTAAGTTAGTCCGGGTTCTAACAAGAAGCACATCCATGGAGCGTATGAACAAGGCACAGAAGCATCTAAGCAAGGCTTGCCCTAATGTCCCGTAGGGTAAGATAAGGGAAGACAGTCAGTCTGCTAGTTATAACCATTCCAATACTCCCCAAAGAAAAAGAAAAATCTACCCTTGTATAGCATGAAAGTACTACAGACTGATCAATGCCCCAACACAAAAAGCAGATAAGAGAGGAGAGGGACTGTTCTCATGAACGAGAAAGAGGACTCCCCGGCTGACACACCTATTTCCCAGGGGCATGTTTTTTTCTCAATGCAACTACTCAGATTAATGGAAGTGGGTTTTTTGACTCTCCCGAAATTCAAATACCACTGCTTTTTGCATCTCCAAATCTGCTGCTATTGGTTCTATTATTATAATTTTGGAGGGATGACAGCTCACACAGATTAGAAACCAAAACAAGGACCACTGCCATCAAAAAAAAAATTAGCAACCACTGAAACAGTACAACAAAAAGAAAAGCAAAAAAGGGTAACTGACAGTTAGTGCGGCAAATCACTCGATTTCTGCTGGAGCCATGAACGCACACATAAGGCCAAATATTTGAGTAAGTCAAAAAGCAACCCTGAATAAGAACAAAACATTTAAAAATGAAGCTATAAATAGGAAGAATTTTTTCTGAAAACTTATTCCAGAAAAACTAGTGAGAAAAACCTAAGTGAAAAAGAGAGGAAAGAAAACTAGACTGAAATAAAACTTTTCACATTAAAAGACTTCTTTTTGGTGTCAACCAGCCAAATATATAGCAAATTCTTTCAAAGACCTCATTAATTACTTAAGAGAAGTGCACTTTCTGGAAAATCTGATGCCCAAGCATTTACTGCTCAAGCAGCAACTTAACTGGTGGTGGCCCTTTTCAATGCCATTCTCGCTGTTTTAACATTCAGTGTTCACAAGAGAGTTTTCTAGGCAACAGTATCAATTAAAACTAACACTTCCCTCCTGGTATCTTATTATGCTTTAATTCTGCTTTGTCGAACTACAATAGTGCTATAGTGTTTATGCTACAGAAACTGTTGTTAGGCTATTCCCAATATTTAAAAATTCCTAACCTACGTGTCAGAACTCAAAATGTAGAAGGAATATGAAAACATTTCCCTCTTAATTAAGATCTAGTTTATCTTAAAATGACTGAAAATATCTCTTTGTGGATATAATAGCAGAAAGTAAACTTCTTTTGAGGAGTGACTAGGAAGAACATGAGAAAACTTATCCTCCCTTTACAGCTGGCACAGGGTAATTAAATTACATACAGTGGTTAGTATACAGGGTGGCATCTTGATGCATGGACAGTGTGGGCAATGTGACATCAGACCAGGATAACTAGTGTATTTATCTCTCTCACCATTTATTTGACAAGTTCATTCAAAACACCCTACCCTGGCTATGTCAAGATACACAATGGTTTATTATTAACTACATTCATCTTACTGTGCTAGGCACTACAATATCATCAGAAAAACACACACAAGAACTAAATCCAGTTTCAACTGGGTGAAATCTAAGAACAAAAATGTTTTAGGAATTAGCAGTTTAGCTTTTTTCTTGTTGTGTTTTAACTAAAACCTCAATTATCAGCATGAATCTGATAACCAGGAGATTACAGAATTTTTGGCTACCTACTTGCTACTAAACATGAACTATACAAAAACAACCATCAACATCTTTAAAACTTAACACAAGTGAAAAGGGCAGTCTCCTGAGTGTGACTCGGGGGGAGTTAGGGCAAGAGAGAGAAGCCTGAGAACATGGATGGACACACAAGACAGCATTACAGTACCTGACAGCCTGTGAGAGCAAGAAGAGTAAGAGAGACCAGGGAAGAGAGCGCTCACGGTATGGAGAAGGAGCGGGACGCTTTTAGTGGCAGGCAAAGCCTCAGAGAGGTGGACACAGTTGCTGATAGACTGGCTTCGCTTAGCTTCCAGGAGAGATAAAGTAACATTACATCAGAGCACAGCGATTTCTAAGTTCTTATGGTGCTGCAATTACTTTAAACATTTAAAGGAAGTCATTTTAAGCATTAAAAGAAGTCAGTAAAATCAGAGTACTTAATCACAGTCTCTAAATACAGCCAACTTTCAGCCAAGCGCGGATGAGGTCTTAGAATGGTCACTCCACACAAAGAACTTATTTCAGTTGGGAATGCTTCATGCATTACCCTTCCTTCTGCTGCTGTATATCAGAGTGTATCTAACTGATGTCTGGGTTGCTCGCTGAAGCACATCCCATTATTACATTTGTAGTACAGTAGTATCTGTTCCTAATGGTACACATACAAAGACCACAGTGAGAAATAGAAAATCTGATCCAAGACAAAACAATTTCTATTAAGCAATAAATAATTCAGAAATTGAATTACTGAGAGCTGACTGTATTTAAAAGCTAACCACTTAGTGAACTAAATGTCACAGAAGTTTGTGAATATATAAATCAGATATTTTATTAGATATCTACGGAAACTATCTTTTTATATTGTATTTCACATTAAATAAAGCCAAAGTTTCTCAACTTTCAATTTTCTCATACATTGTTGGTTAAATAAACATTTAATAAAAACAAAGAGAAAGAGAGCGTACTTCAAATTAATAAAATAGAATCTTTCCTTAAAATCAAAGTACAAAGGATTATTTGTTATATTATTATTTTATGTACCTCTGCTAAGTATATGTGAAACAAAACTATACACAATAGTGGCACACTTGCAAAAACTGAAACAAATTTTTTACTTTGTCCCTTCCCCTATTCTTTGCTATCAGCATCTCCAGCAATGAGATTATTATATAACTCGTGTGCGTGTAAGATAATATTTAAAGGGCAACAACCTTGTAAATGTCAAAGTATAAAGATTTGTTTATCTCAAGATATGGACAATATTTTACTTGAGCACTGTTTAAAGAGCTTTCCCTTTATAAATCAAATGACTGCACATTTTCCCAAAACGGATCACCATGCATTTTAAAAATGTAAAATCCTGGCTGTTTTATGTGGCAATTATGACTGACTTTGATCACTGTCAGGTTATAATCTGGATTTTCACCATCACTGACTCCCAGGGCCAGAGTTATCTTTCCATGCCAGGCTGCTACAGTTACACTCTGATTCTCTGGTGTCACCATAGCTGCTTTAACTAACTGAAATCTGTGGGGTGAATCGTTATGTGAATATCTTAACCCGCTCTTAATGAGATGCAAGAAACAAAGCTACTTTTGAGTGGCTATCCCACAATTACTGCGAACTGTTACTAACTCTCCCTAAGAACAGAAAACTATTTCAGTGAACTTCCACACTCAGAGAAACTCCTTTATACACTCAAACTATAGGGAAAACACTCTGGGCTTTGTTAAAAAGTAGGAAAAGAAAACTAAGTAAAATTACCCATGGATAATATTAAAGTCTTATTAAACTGCAAGGAATACAAAAATCTTCAATGACTATTAATAGGTAACAACTGATTCACAATACTTAGCATTTTAAAAGATATAAAATAAAATAGGAAATGCTTCTATATGCATGCATACATATGTATATATAAAGCATAAATATAATAGACTTGTATAATTGACAGTTTTCACTGTCTTTCAAAAATAAAACAGTTCTAGGCTTTTAAAATTTAGTTACTTCTATAAAAGTCAACCTTAGAGTTTTAAAGTACATATTCCACAAATATCTTTACAAAACTTTTTGAAAAGGTTTGTCCAATGTCACATGGCCCTTCAAACACCTGAGAACATTTTGAAACATAGCCTGCCTTTCCTGATTGTTTTCTAAAGCATGCTGGAGCTTCTACTATACAGTTAGTTTAAAATACGTGGTGGAAATTAAGATTTATGGTATCATATGGACCATGCATGCATCTGCTGCTGACCAACACGTATAAATAAAATGCAGTGTTTGAGGATTAGTGCTTATACTTGGAATTGAAGGGTGAGAAGGCAGGCATAAGCACAGCTTGGGAAGGACACTGCCTTTATCACATGCTTCTGATCTCTTTCACTGAAGGATTCCATGATGGCAGGGAAGGCTGTAGAAGTTGAACTGAAACAGGAAGTCAGTGGGCATCCTCAGTGCTGAATGTTTTTTAAAACTGAGTTTCTTTTTAGGAGACAGAATGAAGGAAAAGAAATAGAATAGGTGGTGGAGATAATTAAAAAGACTATTACCAATAAATGCTAAGGCATAAATAATGAGGATGTTACAGGCACTGTCAACAGGATGCTAAACCATCTATATCAGGCTTTTAACAAACAATGAACAAAATATGTTAAACTCAACAAATATTTGTTTTATGGCCTGAGGAACCTATGTAAGCTTTTCTGAAGCTGTTGACTTCCAACTCTAATTGCATGGTGCTGCTGATGAGGGAAACTGTAAGAAACTGAGATAAAGGTTGTTTCAATCCTACATCAGAGTACAAAGGGAAGAGAGAACCTTATTGCCTTTGTTCTGAATATCAGCTTCCCTTTTAAAGATTTGTCTCTGCCATAGTAAAATGTAACAAAGCTGTCTGATCATCCTCAACCAAGTAACAGTACTAGTTCAAATAGACTGTAAAAGCAGCATCTATAGGCATAGGACATTCGATGTTTTTAAAGAAGTAAAAAGCAAGAATGTCTCCGTTCATTCCTAAAACCAAGTGTCACCCTCCTTTCCTTTGCTGGAACCAGTTATTGCACACTCTACAAGGCACAGTGCCTAGCAATGGCATCAATGAGGTTAAAGGTGCATTTATCATGCTCCCTTTCACAGTAGAGACTTTAGAAATAAATAATAAAACCTGAGGCTTCAGAAGTAAGCAGAACAGAAAGTTTAAAAGGTATTGACAGATTTCATTTAATAAAAGATCTAATATTTAAATTCTGAGTAGAACTTTAAAATATTTATTCCTATAAATTTACTTAAATAGCAATTAGTTTTGTTTAATGATATTTAAACAAATATTTACCAGTTGCTTTTTGGCGAACAATATTTCTGGCCTTCTCAACTCCTGGTGCTCCAGATGTGGTAGCACTTCTGAATCTCATTGGCTCTGTCATATCTGGATGGCTACGCCAGCTGAGAGAAAAGGATCTACCCACAGCGGCCCCTTTTTGGGAATCTAAAACACAACCTGATAAAGGGTAAGATGAGAAAAACAATCAAAAAGCTGAATTTAATGGTAATCATACAATTACATATTACCAGCAGTCAAGAAACGGCCTACGTACAACACTGCACCAGCAGATTCCCCTGCTGCAAATTAAGACCTGCTTCCTCATGCTGCAGTTCAGGAAGATACATCAGTAACCTCAAAATATTTGCTACCAAAGTATTTTTAATTCCTAGCAGCTTCATGAAAATTATATCTTCATAGTATTTACTTCCACATGCAAAAGTACGTATTAACCAATCTTTCCCATTGTAAGAACAGTCATACAAGAGAGATCCAGAAGAGAATAAGGACATCTAGGCTAGTGTGTATTTTTTTTAAGATTCCTGTTTAGTTTCAACTGTGAAGAAAAAAATAACCTGTTGCTAAAGCAATGTTAGAAAATTACTGTACTACATAGACTAAATCTAAACTAGGATTAAGCCATTCTAGTGGAATGCTATGAGCATAAGCTATTTTGTTTCGGCTTCTAACTGCTTTTACTAACTGGGGCTTTGGCAAACTATTCTCAGACTTCAATGAACACAACGCATATGGTTAACACATCACTAGAATTGATTCACATTTACCTATATCCACATCCTTTGTTCTCACTGACTCTGGACTTGATTATACTTTGGTAGTAAAACTAAAGAAGTGAGACCTGAAAAATCTACTTCTGTAACATTGTATTAGCAAGCACGTGCCAATCTGCTGGATGAAGCATGTAGCAGTCACACTCACTACCCTGGCTGACAGCCAGGCAGCTCCTAGAAGCAGAGCAGCCTAAGTGGCCACAGCACAGAGTGGATCAAATGAAAACATCCAACCCAAGTTGCATAAAATCAGACCAACAGTGACTATGTTAAGCTAGCAAGTCTTGGAGTGATTTGTCACATAACAAAAACCAACTGATACAGTCTACAATAAGGTTATTATTACTAAAACATAATCTGCTGTAACCTTGTGTAACTTGACAAAGCTTTGAAGGAAAAATGCCTTCCAGGTCCCGGAACCAAAGGAAGTTACTTATCACCCAAGGAAACCCATTGTTTTTACCTCTGCATTCTATGATTCTGATTGATATAACCCTGAGAACATCAAGGTCTTATCCAAAGTCATCTCTGCATGTTTCCCTAGCAAGCCCATAAGGCTCCATAGAATGCATTCTGGCATTTAGCCATACCCGCAGCTCCTTCCCACTTTATCCTATTTCCTTTTCCATTTAATATGTACCATACGCGTCTGAATGAGCCAGCTCTAGTCTTCACAGTATAAGCTGGAGTAGACAAGTTAACTCAAGTACTACACTCTGTAGGAACTGTAATGATGACAAGGGGATACCAACTGCAATCTCCGACAGAAACTTCCACTGTTTTACAACTCAAAATTATTAAAAGAGCTTTACCTAGAAGCACAATAAAGCCAAAATGGGTCCCATCTCAAGCACTTTGAATTCCTCTACATTTTCCAGGGAGGAAGCAGAACAGATCTGAGTAGTACCTTGGGCCGGACTTGACTAGCTTTGACGTCAATCACTAGAAAGTCTTTGTATTTTGGGTTTTCTGTCTGTGACACAGAACTATCTAAAAGAGCTATCCTAATGATGAAGTCCATGTGCAAAGCATTGGTCATTGCTACTCCTGTTATCAGTTCTTCTCTCTCATTTTTCTTCTTCCACAGTCTCTTTAGATAGTCACCAGTTTCATTAAGGGAACAAAATAATAGGAATCATAAACTAATGACCAGCACTTAAAAAGACATGATGCAGCAGGGCGGTGGTGGCACACACCTTTAATCCCAGCACTCGGGAGGCAGAGGAAGGCGGATCTCTGTGAGTTCGAGACCAGCCTAGTCTACAAAGCAAGTTCCAGGACAGGTTCCAAAGCTACACAGAGAAACCCTGTCTCGAAAACCAAAAGACACTATGCAACTAGTTCAACTCATTATGAAATACAATGCATTAACGGCTTGGGTGTATAAATAAACACCACTGCGGCTGCCCTGGAAAAGCATAAATACCTTTGCCACGCTGTTTCTTCTCCTTCTGTTCACTTAATTTATCTAGAGGTAGGTTTGTCATCTCAACTCCATACACAGTTCTTGCGAGCACCGCTGTCAAAGAGTCCATGATGTTGGACCACTCGGTGATGAGCTCCTCCCACTCTGTGAGGGATGACAGCACACCTAGAAAGTCATCCCAAAGCTCCCGAGAAATGTACACACAGAGGTTTGCTCGGATCCAAGCCACGATAAGTGTCTGAAACCAACCAGATATATGATTTTTAACAATATATATATATATATATATATATATATATCCTTTTCATTGTTTTTCTTACTTTTAACCAAAAGTAACGAGGATCTGAATTATGTTAGATGAGTTATCTGAGGAAATATTATTCTAAAGTGCATGGCTACTGCTGCTAATATTGTTAAGAACATAAAACCCTTTGTCCAGAGACTACTCAACTTCTGAAGGTGGCTCTTTGCCATCACCAGAGAGGCTACGGCAGACATCTTCCTCTAGGTGTGCTCTTCTAAACTCGAGTACTACATGACTTTGAGCAGCTGGGCTTGATACAGAATCAAAGACAACTCATTAAATGAGACTCCCTTCGACCTCAGCCCCCAATACTTTCAGTTCAACAGCATTTAGCCAGTGTCACCTCCATCTGCGCTGTCTTCCAACGGGGCATGCCTACTCCCACCCTGGGTTCCTTCTCAGAATCCTGTGCTTCTATTAAGCCAAACTATCCTGAGCTACATGCTGTATTTCTCCTCGTTTTAAAAAGCAACACACTCTCTTTGGAGTAGATAACCCTCTGCTTACAGCCATTCTCCTTCCTCTATTGAAGTCTAACTTTCCTGCGTCCTCATCTCCCGGTCAGGTGGTTCTGAATTTTTCTTTCTGACAGCTCTTCACTTTCCACCTAGGTTTTGGTTATCCATTTCTATGGCTCCATTCCCTTCTAACTGTTGTGTACTCTTTTGTCTTCATGTCCAACACAGATCCCTTGGTTGGCTTCCTGATTATCCACCTGCTGTATTCAGGGCAGTCCAAAGGCACTTGTAGCACATCATCATGAAAAGAAGTCAATCACTGATTACTAATTTTGATCTAAAATTGGATCAATTTTATTATTAGATCAATATTTTCTATTATATGAAGATTATTAATTTACTGTTTTCTGGTAATAATAGTTTTGAACTTTTGAAGACATGATTTTAAAAATGTATAGACAGAAACTGGCATTTTAGCCTTAACAAAAATGCTCAATTAAATATTAGGGTAATAAAACTGACCCAGTATTAGATCACTAGATATAATTTTAGTGGAGTAAGAGGAGAGGGTAGAGGCTGTAGAAGTCACTAGAAATCACCTCCCATTATGCTGCAGTTCTGTTATCATGAACAAAACCAGATGGCTGTCTTGGTGTAGAAAGATGTCAAGACTGGAAATCACTTTACTGAACTCTAAGAAATAAAGGGATGATGCGGTGTGGCACTTGGCTTTAGTTCCAGCAGAGGCTGGCTGTAAGGGCAAGGCCAGCTTGGTCTACATAGTGAGTTCTAGGCCAGGTGAGACTTTTTCTCAAATAACAAAAAGAAGAGAGAGAGAGAGAGAAAGATGGAGGTGGGAAGGAGGGAAAGAAGAAGGAAGGCAGAGGGTGACTTCTCGCAGTTTAGAGAATTTGTCATAGCCAATGTCACAAACATGTATACGGACCTATAAATCATCAACAAAATTCACAATTGGACATGGGGCAAAATCCTCGAAGCTAGTTGAGGGGGGGTGGGATAGAGGAACATAGAAGTAGGACAGCCTTTCAATCAATTACCTTTTCCAATAGGAAGTGAGAGTGATGGTCTCAGCACTAGGTTGTGCTACTAACTTGGTTTGAGCCCTGCAGAGAGTCAGCTGGCCTTTCCAGAGTTCCATTCCTCATCAAAGTCAAGGTCCCTCAGCACTGACACTCAGTGTTTAATTAGATAAAGCTCAGCCCAAGAACCACAGGAACACACCTCGCCTCAGTGACAGCAATTGATAACCAACCACCTCCTCTCTCCTTATATCCCCCACTCTCAAGAAGGACACTGAACACTGTCAAGTACTGGATCCTATTATAGACAGAAGCAATGCTTCCTCATCACCTTCAGAACTTACATCACATGGTCTAACTAGGATTGAGAACGAGCTATAACATCATGGAGGCAATCAACATTATTTCGTAAAGTTTTTTAAATGAGATAAATTCAACCATCATCAGAAGAAATTATGTTAACCTAAATTATCTATATAACAGAGGAAAAAGAAAACTACCAGGAACAGTAGAAAAAAGGATAATGGTGACTTAAAAATTCCTTACCTCTACTAGTTCTTTACTATAAAAAACAAAAACACAAATATCTATCCATTTTCATCTATACAACAACTGAATTAGTGTATCTTCACTATAATGTGTCACTTAGGGGACAACCATTTCCCTCCTCATATCTCACCAAAGGACACTGGAAGTCCAACCAATGATCACAAATCTATAGCACTTCCCATGTTGTCCCCTCTTGACTGCAGAGCAGGCAGGGACACAGAAGATGAGGTGGTACTCAAGGCCACCAAGCCAGCAATGCCAGGACCAGAGTCACAACCGGGATCTGTCAAGCTCTACGAAGTTCAGCCTTCCTCTACTCTTCCATGGTCAATTCTAAATCTAAGCACCCTTTTTTCTGTACTCATTTCCAAAATGCATTAGAATCATAAGCAATCAAGGGCCAAAAAAATGGTACAAGAAAGATCTGATGAGAACACTCCACTAAGGGAATTCTCTCCTGACCCATCCCCTCCCAACCCAAACAAACAAATACAAACAACAATTACAGAATAGAGTCATTCTTAATCCTGCAACAAATTCACTTTCTAATTTCAACACACATAACAGGTACAAGGCCAGACAACTGGTGAAAATCAGGCTTGACACTGGCTTTAGCTCATGCCTACTTGACAACCAAGCACCAGGACTGGGAGCTCAGGTGCTGACAGTGAGATGCTGCACAGATAGAGCACAGTGCAGAGTGTCTGTATATCCATGCAGGCAGCAAAGTAGTAGCATCAACAAACTAGGTTGGATTACTACAAACAAAAACAAAACCCATATAGTCAGAGTATAATAACACAAGCATATAATCTCTAGCACTTGGATGACTGAAGCAATAGATTTAAAAGTCTGGGCCAACCAAGGCTCATAGTGAGCCCTGAACTTAAAAAAAAAAAAATTCAAATAAAAATGTATGTATTCTCCCATCACATATACCCATGACCTGGGCAAGTCAGTCAAAGGAAGAGAGAACACCAGTGAGGCAAGTGAGCACATGCCAATTCCTTCTGCAGCCTCTATACACACTACCTATACTATATAAGGACTCTTACTATGTATCATCCAAAAGCCATGAATGGAGAAGAGAATGTTTCCTTTCTCAGCCATCATTTCAGCTCACAGTGCCCCCACCTATCAGATTACTCAAGGTCAGGCCTAATATAGAAGAATGTCATACATTTCCATAGTTTTGCACACTGTTCTTTTCTAGAAATGTTAATGAACTTTATGAACCCTGTAAAAAGCTGTGTAGCCTGAGGCTAATTCCCTGGGCAACCCATCAGCTGGCAGCCTATGTATACTCTTGACCCTGCTCCCCCTGGGGCAGAAAGTACTGGTAACTTCTTCGGGTCTCAACTCATACTGAGAGTCATCCAACCCTCCCAGATCCTGAGGTGCTCCTCCCTCTGCACCAATACATCCTGACCTCTTTCACTAGAACATGGCACTGGCAAGCCAACACTTAAGAATCACTTGCTCAAACCTCACCCTCCAAACACAGCGCCCCTCCAGAGAGTTCTCCTTTCTCCTCCCTTCCATATCAAGAGCTCTTAGAAGCCTTATCCACCATTGCTACCTCTACTTCCTGATTCAAGTAGACTTCAATTCTTTGGACATTCTCTGAACATTTTCAACCTCCCACATCTTATCAGAACCAAAGGTCACCTGGCTCTGCTTACTTCCCTGGGCATCTAGAACAATCTATCTTTGCCTCAGCAAACTGGGCCTCCCTGCTCAGCATCCCTGGCTTGCTCTCTTCTATCAAGCACAGAGAAGCCTTCATCCTCCTATGCAAATGTTCTCTCTCACAGTCACTCCATCCAGTCTGAGGCTTTACATACAGTTACTTGACACAAGGATGGCCTCAAATTTACATGCTGTTTCCATATTTCTATTTATCCTGTAACTGTCAATCTAGCTTTCTCCCCAACTAGGATATTCAACTCCTGTCACTCTCAAGAAAACCAAGAGGTAGGAGATGGTAGAAAAAGAAGCCTAAAAAACCCAATGTTAACTGTGAAAAACAGAACACAACATTTAGAACAAAGTTAAGAAGGAAAATTTCTAAAAATGCAAAGTTAATTTGATATAACATGTAAAATCTCAGTAATTAAAACTAATTTGTCAAGTCTGCTCCAATTCTGCATTTCCAGTGTTTAATAAAAAAGACTTACCCTGAAAAGCAACCCTGCCAAACTCTGGGCAAACAAGTCCTTTACATGCTTATCCTTTGGCTTCTGCATGATAGCTTCTGTTATCCTGAGAAGGATTTGCAACATCTGCTCCCTGGGCCACCCAAAATAAAAGCTCATATTAGTAATCACATCTCCAAAGCACTTTATAGGTATGAGATCTCTGCAGTCAGCAACACTGACAATCACGTATTATCTCAAAGTATTAAAAGTCTAGGTGTCAGTTAAACAATAAGATCATATTTTATCCGCATAAACTACTTTATGTTACCACATTTCTACAAACATGCTTGCTACATCCATGCCAATTGGCAGAATGGCATCTTCCAGACATCTCCCTGCCTGATTTTTCTCTTTGCAGGAAGGGGGACAAGATAGTTTTCCCCAGTTGGAGCAGCACACCAGGGCACTCACCAAGGGAATAGCTGTACCAGACAGAACTTATTCAGGACTCTGACTTTCTCCATCATTTTGTTACTTAACCTGTAGAGTCCCACATCTGCCTTTGTAATAAAAACAAAACTGACTCTGGTCTTTCCTATGAGGACACAGGCAGTCAATAACACTGCATGACTGTGGTTCCTGGAGAAGGCAGGAGGAGTTTGGAAAGGTCAGGACTGAACACTGATGGGCAGTGTATTTGTGCCTGGTAGACCTTGCCTAAACCACAGAGCACACGTGGGACAACTGTGGTCACCATAGCTCGGTCACCATTTTCAGTCTTACAGAAGGAGACTTTACATAATAGGCTTAAAGAATCAACATCAAACTGCTAATTATGACCATTGGTGTTTAAAACAGCAGAAGTTCATTTTTTCTTTCTTACATAGCCAAGTTATGTTTCTCATACCCATGACTATATAAGGATGGGAAATATATTATCTTTTGAACAGAGAAGAAGTTCATGCATTCTCTAAGGAAATCACTCTGGTTCTTATAAGGTTTTGAGCCCTAACCATTTATTCACTTGCACTACTTTCTTCTTGTTCTTCCTACTCTCTAGTGAAAAAAGGAAGACTATGACAGAGCAGTCTGGTTCAGCTCAGACAAAGGGATCTGTGGTTTCTTTTCTCCAGTGTCTACGCAGTGGATTGATAATGCAGAATCTCAGTAACCTTCTCGTGGTATAATGACCTCCGGGAATTTACTATCTGCTTGTTTGGTATCTGACTCCATTGGGCTTTTAGTCCCGGGTTTACTAAAGTGTTAACATTATTCTCCCAGCACTCTATGCCATCTGTTTTGCACTGTTTACGGATACTGAAATATGAAGTGGATGATATTTTGTTTGTGCTCTAACAAATAAACCTTGCCTGAAGATCAGAGGGTAGAGTTAGCCACTAGTTAACCATAGAGGTCTGGAGGTCTGTACAGACAAACAGAAAGTGATATGGCTGGGCAGAGAGAACAATATCAGGCAGAAGACAGGAGCTCAGCCCCTTTTCGGCTGAGCAGTTAATAAGGCAAGAGTTGGCTTGCTCCTTTCTCTCTGATCTTTCAGCATTTGCTCTGATATCTGGCTCTGGGTTTTTATTAATAAGACCAATTGGAACTCGCGCAGCAATGGAGGAGGAAGACAAATGCACCATCTTGATCTAGAGACACATGTGCACAGCAAAGGACAGCAAGTCTAAAGAGAAGAGAGAAAAGAAATGACAGAGCTGGAGATGGCCTGCCATTCTCAGTCAGGATACCCAGGCCCCTGTCACAGTGGGGCATGTTATTTAGTGCACCACTGTGTGTTCATAATAGATGCTCAGGAGTTAATTAATAAATGGAAACAAAAGAAACAGAGAGACAGGGAAGGAAAGAGGAGAAAAGAAAGGGGAGGAGGATAAAGAGGGGGAAGGAAGCAAAAGAAAGCATTGGTCATTTGGAACTTAAATATTCAGCAAGTCTGTCTGGGAAGCAGACCATGCCCCTATCTATTCTCTACCATGCTTAGTTTCTACTTTTACTTATTTCTACAAATGTCTGTTTATACATGTATCTGGAAACCTCTAAATTACTAAAGGGAAAAACATTTGCTTTATTTGACTTCCTAAATTTTCATCAGATGCTGTACGATGTATACAGAATTCATCACTTTCTAAGAAAAGAAACAGAGAAATACTATTCACACAGCTGTGGTACAGGGAGCATCATCCAGCTGAGAGCATTTCCCACAGAGTTGTTTGGACCACTATGATACGGCTGGGTTTACATCACACTGAGCATGGGTGTCATGTTTCCAAACTTAACAGCACTTGACTTGGTAAGAATACTAATTTAAAGACCTTGTTATTTATACTTTCAAATCTTCATTTTGATATTTGTGAACTTTTTATAAGGCAGAATTCCTCTGGGTCCACCCTTCCCTCCTCTTGGTGGCCTATGGTCTCTAATAGCTCATGCTTGCCTTGTTTTTAGGGTTTTCCACCTACTGTGGACAGACAACAGTACTGGCTCTAGGGCATCTATAAAACAGGTGTGGTCCTAGAAAAGTTTCTATAGCAGAAAGGATTTCCCTACCACAGAACCGCAGTAGCCACAAAGCTCTAGAATGTGAGATATAAGGGCACCTGTAGTAGTTTTACAGGTGGCTAAGTAATATGAACATACTAGGCAGACCCAAGAGGCATTTCTAAAACAGGCTACATGTGAAGACAATGGGAAAAAGACATGGCTCAGGCCTTGCTGGTCTATCACTGAGAACACTGAGGGTGATGTGGAGTTATCCACTATGGAAGACAGGCATGGAAAACATCTAACACCTTTTACCTTTAACAACACAATTAAGAGAAAAACAGCAAAAGAAAAAAAGGGAATAAAAAAAAACAGTGAAGACATACTTTTTGACTGTACTTTTCTGTCACTCTGATAATGTATTAGTTAAAAGAACTGTTTTGACAAAGTGAATTTAAAATAATAAGTTGAAGGAATAAAACTCAAGTTTATAGCACTTCACGACAACAAAAACTTGAGCTTATAAAGAATCATATTACAAAGCACACACCATTTATCATAAAACTGTCTGATAACAGTTTAAAATGGCAAAATCCACTACTAAGTAGTGTAACACTAACTCCTGTTCAAGAGCATTTTTACAAACAGTAATGAAAATAAATGAATTATCCAAGTGCTGGGTAGTTAGTTCCCTTTGCGACAATCCATAAAAGCTGCCAAGGGGCGGCTGCTTATCTTATTGTCAGTTTTGTAAAGACATTTGATAAATGGAAACCTTAACACTTTGATTATACCATAAAGAAAAGGTAGCTGTTTGATGTTAATCTGAGATAAACTTACCATGTCTTTTGATTCATTGTAAGTTCCATTATCATGCGCCGAAAAATAATCAGCACAGCTTTGCAAGCATCCACTTGTTCTCTCAGGAGCGTGGGGACCTCAGCACATGGCTCCAGCAAAAAGACATTCGCAGCATTTGTAAGAAAGACCTTAAAGCCAACAATTTTACATTAAAAAATACAACTAATCATATGACCAATGAATGCCTTTGAGTTATTTTCACAGACTCTTCCAAGACAGCAAGTGATACCAATACATGATCCAGGTATTGTAGCTCACCCCTTAGAATTGCCTAAGTAGACACCTAAAAGGCCTTTCTCTACTATTCCATATAAACATTGTTACTTTAGTCATGAGTCATACAATATTTGAACTTGTTTTATCTTTCAAAAGTAACAATAAAACAACAACAATTAGAAAAAAAACCAGGACCATTGTGTCAGGGTGAGAAGGTCTGGAATGGACAGAAGGTCAAAGAGGCCTGTGGGTAGAAAACAGCGCTATAATTGTTTTTCTAAGGTGAATTTAAGACATCAAGTTGGAGGAATAAGAATCAATTTATAGTAAACCAAGTGGGTTTACTGACAGAAGTTCCTGGCACAGTATATGAAACCTGCTTCCTGATGGAATATTGCAAGTGTCCACAAGAGGCATAACGACTGAGCCAAGAGCAGCACTGTGCTTGAAAGCAGACAATGCCACATGGTTGATGTTACATCTTCTAGGATCAGGACTTTTCTTTTTTCCTTTCTTCCTTTCCTCTTCTTCTTCCTCTTCCTCTTCCTCCTCTTCTTCTTTTTTGGCAGTGCATGTGGTATGTGTCTGTATGCTTGTGTTCCTGTGGGAGTGGGAGCTGAACATATGTGCATGTGGAGATCCGAAACAGAAAACTGACATCAGGTGTCTTCTTCACTGCCTCTCCATCTTCTATAATGAATCAGGGTCTCTCCCTGAACCCAGTTCAGTTTCTCCTTAGCTGGCTAGCTAACTTGTTTCAGGGATTTCTTGTCTCTGCTTCCCTAGAAGTAGAATTATAGATGGGCTGCGAAGCCCATCTGGCTTCTCGAAACTTCAGTCCTCGCACAGTATAGCAAATGTTTTACCGTTTGCTACAGGGCTTTTTTAAATAGCAGAAATCTATTATGCAGTAAGAAACAATAGTCTCAGCAAATTCATAAGATAAAAGAATATTACAAAAAAACAATAAGAGAGTCAGATGACTATTCTATGCTCGGCCCCAGATCTTTGGGATCTAGGTTCTCTGTTCTGTCTCAGCAGGGCTGACTCCAGTTCTCAGACAGTAAATTACTGCTTTCTACACTGAAGGAACATGTCAGCATTCATAAGATGACACCAGTGGCCCATCAATTTCAGATATTCATTGCTGTCAACTTGGTGTTAAAAATGGATAGGGTTAGAGAAATGACTTAGTGTTTAAGAACACTGACTGCTCTTTCAGAGGATCTGGGTTTAATTCTCAGCACCCATACAGTGGCTCACAACCATCTGCAACTCCAGTTCCAAGGAATCCAATGTTCTTTTCTGGCCTCAGCACCAGGTATGCATGTGGTACAAAGACATATATTTCAGCAAAAGGTACACATAAAACCGATCATATGGATTCTGTCTATCTATATGCATAATCCTTTGTAAGTCTCCTTTAGTAAAATAGTATAAGCGGTGAGGTGGTGGGAACAAACCCAGCTTTTCTGGCTTCTTAGTGCAGGAAATCCCAAATAAAACACATAGGTTGATCAGACAGGTTCTAACCAACACACATAAAAACTGATGACAGCCTTTAAGATTTAACATTTGTAAGATGAAAAAAGTTTCATGTCCCAATTTTATAGGAAAAAGAATCACTAATCACTACCAGATACAAACACAATGTCAATCTAAATAAGGCTTTGAATTAGAAAAAAAGAAAACAAAGAATTCTCTGATTAATAAACTAAAGCAGTTTTAGTGACAATGTTTTATATGAGTAAGTCACAAATAACATACTATAATACAAAGCCTTTTAATTTCATGTATTGCCTTCAAGAATTTCAAAATTCTACCCATTCCTAATGAAAAATCTTCATATACTACACTTTTACTTTTAATAATAGCCTCAAGAAGCTAACACATGAATACTTGACACTGTATTGGCACCAGTTAAGGTAACACCAAACAACCAATGTCTACGTCCAAACTGTACTCAGCAGTAGAAGAACACTCTCATCAGACCTCCATCAAGCCCCTTTCCCCAGGAGCAACACTCAAGAGACAAGTTGCTGAATACAATAAGAACAAAAACAGTGTAAATCCTCACTAAGCAACTCTTCAAGCTGTAGAGCTACAGGATGACTGGAGTCCACATGGAGAGAGCTACAGGGACAAAGGGCAAGGACCCCTCTGAGTGTCTGTGTCAAGGTCACAGGCTATAAGGATGAGTGAGCTACAGCTATGTTCTCTGTAGCTACAAGGGTAAAATCATCTTTACTCTTTCTTTTTAAGATTTATTTTTATTTATGTTTCTCTTGCTTTCTCTGTGTGTACGTGTGTTTGCACGGGTGTGTGTGTGCATATATACACACACGCCCACACAGGGAATAAGGTCTTACAAATTAAAATCCAAATAACTATTCAGATGTCCTCAGAAGGCATTTTAGGGTATAAATCATATATACTTCACATTCACTATAAAATAATCATTCTCAAAAAACCTGCAACCAATTCTTATATTTTCTTTTTGACTAAAAAAAAAAACTTTTCATTTGTAGATGGGAAAAAAAACTTAGAACATGATGGTCCTCTATTGCCTGATACTCAAAATACCAGTGCACTTCATATGACATTACTCTAATTAAACAAAATGTTCAAATTGTCTTCTCCACTAGGGCTGTCTTTGTGTCCCTATGGCGGCGTACCTGCAGCATAGCCTGGGCCCCAGCTTTCACATTTGTGTTGTCCTCCTCTGTCACACATCCTCTGCTCATGGCACTTGTGAAGGAATATGTACGTCCCCAGCTGGATGACCGTTTATGGCCAGAACTTTCAGATGAGGCCTTCAGAAGATAATAAAACATTAGCCAAGTATAGAGAAACCTAAGTTTATATACTTGGTCCTTCAAACTCTGCTTAGAACTCAACGTCTACCACCCAAGGTGGCCTCAGCCCTTACTGTTTGCTGAGAGAGCCAAGTTTGCCTGATCCTGGGACACAGAAAGTGGGCCTTTACACATACAAATTCTACCAGCTCACTGTTGATCTAACCTCATAACTCATTTCTAAAATGATTTCCCCAATACTAAAACATCAAAACAACAGAATCAATTCAGATATTTAATTTTTTTTAAGTCTGTAGCTAAGAATTTTAAATATTGTAAGTTAACTGCATCAGGAAGACAAATGTAATTTGTTTCTTTTGTGTTGGAGGGTGTTCTATACCGTCATTTTAGATTTACTCAGGCCTGAGCCTTGAAGGGGACAGTGCCTCCTGCTGGAAGGCAACACTGCTGATGCACCAGAAGTACTTGCTCTTTACTCGGTTAATCTCTCCAAACATTGGATACAGATTTCTTCTGGACAGAGAACTGCCAAAGAAAAGTCTGGCAAAACATTCTATGTTTAATTTTCCAACAACTATTTATTTAAATAAGTCAAGGAGAAGATAACAGCTTTTCAGTCTCAAAGACAGAATTGCAAATTATGAGAAAACATCTGTCTTGCAACCGTGATTAAGAAAGTGGCCGTGTTCCTGTGGCCCTAAGCTAGGGTGAAGGAGACAACTGCCTACCAAAGATGCAGCATGGACGACACTTCTAAGGCAGGTCCGCACAGAACCAACAGCCCGAGAATGTCTTGTTCCCACCTGTCTTCGTGGGCAGAGGAGGACCCTTGAATGAGCAGGCCTGCTTTGCATACAGGTATGTACCCTCAACTCAGAGACTGAGTGATAATGTTACCTCCTTGGAGTCAGTCTCTGAGAGTCCTAATTTGTCAGCATCTTCCTGGGCAACATCCTTTTTATCTGGTTCCTCCATGAACACCGGTTTGTTCTGGAGAATCCACTTCCTGTATACTTGAACAACTTTTCTTGTTACAGATATCTCACAGGAAGGCAACAAAAATGCCTGAAAAAAACAAAAACAAAACAAAACACTCTTTAATGCCACACTCTCAGATCATCATAAAGCCACAGAAATTTCCATTGCCAACTTCAGAAACATTTAACTTGCACAGAGACCACATACACACCTTTCTACATACCACTCATCTGGAAGAAAAAGACATTGTTATAGTTGGAACAGAAAAATGATGATGTTTCATAGATTCCTCTATATTCCGGGTAGCTTTAAAATACCTATGCAGGTATTTTAACTGTCTATATAAAATAATTATAACTAAACTTATAATTTTCCTTTAAAAAAATCAGAAATGGTTTGCAAAGCCAAAAAGAGACTATGGCAGGCATAGGAGCTGACTTCATTACCTGCTCCAGGCTCTGCACTCAGGTGTAGAGTAAAAATGGCCATGGTGGGGTTAGTTAACACCACAGAAGTTGGAGACGGCTACAAATATGGGTTCTTCTTGTTTTGCCTTTTTCTTCTTCTCTTGCTTCCTTTTCATCCCACTTACGTTCCTTCTTCCCACATTTCCCCTCTACTTCCTTCCCAGACAGATTTCTGCATTATCAGAACAAGTACTCCCGCATATGGTAACCAGACTGGCCACCTGTAATACTGTGCACATTTGTAGAAACTTAAAAATACTTTCTGTGTGCAAGCACAAACCAGAAACAAATGCTGGATACCTTCCTTGACTGTTTCAGGGTCTTATTTTATCAGACAGGATCCTTCACTGAACATGGAACTTAGCTAGACTAGCTGACCAAGAAGCTACAGATTACAGATACATGGCACCACATTGTATTACAATGGATGCAGGGGATCTGAGCATTATACTAACTGAACCATCTCTTAGTCAAGGAATTTTTTAATATGAAGGAATCTCCTTACATATTTATAATTTAATGCAGGAAGACAGAAAAAAATGACTTTGAAGAAGAAATGCATTTGTCTTTTGCATCTCAGATTTAGGGTCTATTTCTGCAATGCAAGGTAGGCAGGAAGGGCTGCCCCCCACCCACATTCAAATGACTGCTTGAATGACACAGACAAGGACAAATGAGCTACAGTAATTCTCACATATTTTTTTTTAAATTTATTTATTTATTAAGGATTTCTGCTTCCTCCCCGCAACCACTTCCCATTTCCCTCCCCCTCCCCCAATCAAGTCCCCCTCCCTCATCAGCTCGAAGAGCAATCAGGGTTCCCTGACCTGTGGGATGTCCAAGGACCGCCCACCTCCATGCAGGTCTAGTAAGGTGAGCATCCAAACTGCCTAGGCTCCCCCAAAGCCAGTACGTGCAGTAGGATCAAAAACCCATTGCCATTGTTCTTGAGTTCTCAGTAGTCCTCATTGTCCGCTATGTTCAGCAAGTCCGGTTTTATCCCATGCTTTTTCAGACCCAGGCCAGCTGGCCTTGGTGAGTTCCCGATAGAACATCCCCATTGTTTCAGTGTGTGAGTGCACCCCTCGCGGTCCTGAGTTCCTTGCTTGTGCTCCCTCTCCTTCTACTCCTGATTTGGACCTTGAGATTTCTATCCAGTGCTCCAATCCCACATATTTTTAAAATACCACCCCTAAGTTTCACAACAAAGGACCAAATGACAGGCAGATGTCGCTTCAGCATTGGTGCATAAGATAGAGAAATATCCTGAGGTGTCAGCCAGATCACATCAAATTCCAGAGCCCAGGCATCCGTGTTATCAAAAGATTGCAAAATTGAATAAATCAATATTCTGCCATGTAACTCAATAAACACAGAAATTATGACAAAGTACATGTTTCACTTTCTTCCTTAATTTTATTGCAGAAATATCACATGAAAATTTTTTTTCAGTATGAATAGCCATATCCCTATTCCTCTGATGTTATTAGCAGTAACAATATTTGCTCTATTACATATTTATCTGCCAACCCACCCCTCTATTCTTCCTTCAATCCACTCTATATCTTATGCACTCTATTGGTCCATTCAATCTATAAACACTTTAGCCCCCAGTCTCTGACTGAAGTCTGGCATTATTTTTATTGTAAATTATTTAAGAAAAACTTTACAAAGAAGGAAATACAGGGGCCATTAAATCAGTTCTGACAAAAAGTAGACAACTCAGTAATCCAAACCCAAAATAAAGGAATAGCATACTATCCTCCTCACAGAGAGCAAAAAACAGTTCTTGTATAGGGGAAAATAAAGTGATATATATATCACAAAAATATTTCTACAAACTTCTAAGACAAAATAATAAATAACATACTACTAAATATCATGGAAAATATGCTAAGTCAATTTGAATAAAATCATAATTTAAAAAACCAGACAAGATACAAATGAACAAAAAATCTACATATCAGGAATATCAGAACCTGAAGTAAGTGAAGTCTGAATACAAAACAATCCAAATTCAAAGCTATGTGCATATAGGCTGGACAAAAGGGACCCAGCTGAAGTGAAAACTGAGAGAAATATGAGGGAAATCTCTAGCATGCAGTAAATAGTAAGCAGAGGCAAAGAGGCAATGCAATAACAAGGTCACCCTATGCAGAGCTAGATGGAGTCACAAAATATGGACCAGAGCAGTGTGCAAGAGTGGCTGAGCTGAGAGAACAAATCCACACAATCACGAATCACAAAAGCAAGCAGACTAGATACAAGAATTTTACAGTATAACCGCTGAAGACCAAAGACAATTAAACTAGAAAACATTAAAAGTAGTCAAGAGGCAAAAAGAAAAATAAAAGGACATATTTCTTTCAAAGCAACAAACCACATGGCCCGCTGTGCCTGTGAAACAGAAACCATGAAACAAGGGCTGATGTTCCTCAAAGTGCAGAGAGCACATGGCTACCAGGATAGACATAATAGAGCACCAGAAAGAACGTTCTTCAAAAGCGACATTTTCAGATAAGAAAATTTGTTGCCAATAGAGGAAAATACTAAAAATTGTCCTTCAGACCTAAATGGAAATTATCCTAGGTCAGAAAATTGGCAAGGAACAAAATATCATAAGGGCATTTGTAGAATTCTAAATGAATATGATATATGTATGTATGTATGATGTATGTATATATATATATATATATAAAATGTAGCATATAATATAGCAGTTCTGAAAAGTATGGTATACATATATACATTTTATTTGTTTGTTTGATTTGGTTTTTCAGAGCAAGGTGTCTCTGTGTAACTGTCCTGGTTGTCCTGGAACTCACTTTATAGATTAGGCTAGGCTCGAACTCACTGAGATCTGCCTACCTCTGCCTCCCAAGTGCTGAGATTAAAGGAGTGTGTCACTGGCAAAACACATTCATTTCGTAATGTGGAATTCATTATGGAGGATATGAGGTGGAGGGAGAAAAGGGAAGTGAGGAAATGCTGCAATTATATTTTAATTTTAAATAAATTTTAAAACTGGAAGCTTCTCAACAATAACTATTTAATCCACAGGAAGGCATAGTAACTAAATGTATACTAATGCTACAGAGGGGAAACTCTATCTTAATAGTCTAGCTTCATAGTTTTCAGACGGTTTTAATCCATCTTAAAAATCACTGAGCTGGCCTTTTTGTCAAGATGGCGCCGAAAGCGAAGAAGGAAGCTCCTGCCCCTCCCAAAGCCGAAGCTAAAGCGAAGGCCTTGAAAGCCAAGAAGGCAGTGCTGAAAAGCGTCCACAGCCACAAAAAGAAGAAGATCCGCACATCGCCCACCTTTCGGCGTCCCAAGACCCTGCGGCTACGAAGGCAGGCTAAATATCCCCGGAAGAGCATGCCCAGGAGGAACAAGCTTGACCACTATGCCATCATCAAATTCCCCCTGACCACCGAGTCAGCCATGAAGAAGATAGAAGACAACAACACACTTGTGTTCATTGTGGACGTCAAGGCCAACAAGCACCAGATCAAACAGGCTGTGAAGAAACTCTATGACATCGATGTGGCCAAAGTCAACACCCTCATAAGGCCCGATGGAGAGAAGAAGGCGTATGTTCGGTTGGCTCCTGATTATGATGCTCTGGATGTTGCCAACAAGATTGGAATCATCTAAACTGAGCCCAGCCGGCTAATTCTAAATATACACTTTTTCACCATAAAAAAAAAAAAAATCACTGAGCTGGGCTGTCACACAGCTGAGCAGTCTACTGCAGGTCTCCCACCAACTTTGCTACAAAGGACACCTCTGGGTTAAATTCTTTCTTTTGTGAGAAGCTTCATTTCACTACCTTACTCAGGGAAAGTTGCTCTTTTAGTTATCTTCCCCTGTTCTGCATAGACAGTTGCCTTTGGCTATCCTGTGATGAAAGATTCCTTCCACACACTTTTGTAACTGCAGAGTTAGCTATTCCTAGGAAAAGACCTTAAAATGGCATGGAACATAAGCTATTTAATCAGCAACTTTTCTTTAGATTTACAGAACAAACACAGAACCTCTGCTGACTTATGGATACCAACAGTCTGTGCATCAGAAAAGCAAACTACAGAAAATTCATACTTACTGCCATTTCTGCAAATTTCAAAGGTCTGTCCACTCTATGTCCCTGTCCCAAATCAATCCCTATAAAGCTTTGTACCTGTAACTCCTCACAAAACGTTTCTATTTTTTTTAAATACCCAAGAGTCCCCATCTACCAGCTTTCCAACTTGTTGTCAATAAAGCTCTTCTTTTCCCCATCACCTTCTCTCTGAAATGGTTGGTTTCACCAGGTAGCAACAAAACTTGACTTTGTGCAGTGTCTTAGCCAGGGTTTCTATTGCCATGATAAATATCCTTGCTAAAGGTAAGCTGAAGAGTGAAGGGTTGGTTCGTTTAGCTCGTGCATCCCTATCACTCATCACTGAAGAAATTCAGGACAGGAACTCAAACAGGGCTGGAACCAGGACGCAGGAGCTGATGCAGAGGCAATGGAGGATGCTGCTTCCTGGCTTGCTCCTTATGGCTTGCTCAGCCTGCTCTCGTATATAACCCAGGACTACCAGTCCAGGGGTGACCCCACCCACAAAGGACTGGGCCCTCTCTCATCAAGCACTAATTAAGAAAATGCCCTATAGTCTAACCCACAGCCCAATATTAATCAAGCATTTCCTCAAATGAGGCTCCCTCTTCTAGTTCATGTCAAGTTGACAGAAAACTAGCCAGCACAGGCAGTTATGCTGCAACTGATGCCTATGTAAAAATGCTGCAGATACTCAGACTTTCAAAGGGGGAAAAAAATCTATAGCTATTGCAGGATATTCTGAATAGAAAGCAAAGACAACAGGGAGAAAAGCAAGGAAATTACCAGGCCTCCTCATTAGAGCCTTCTGCTTCAACCTGTCCCAGTTTTTACCTGTCACTCTGAGCTGCATGCAGGATCATTTCTTTACTCAATTTAGTGTGTCTTCTGATGCCGCCATTCTGCTTTAAAACTAAACACTGAAACTCCCTTCTGGCTTAATAAACATCCCAATTATTACTATTTTTCATTTTAAATTCTGTTTTCTCCTTTTCTAGTATGTATTTGTCAGGTGTTAGTTTCTTGCTTACTTCAAACATGTCCAAGTTTATGTTTTTCAGAATTTTAAAAGTACAAATCCCCAAGTTTCAACTTTAGAACTGAAGTTCTTATAGTCTCCCTGGATCTCATTTGTATGTTGAAAGAGGTCTGGTTACAAATTCCTAAGTGCAAGAGTAAACCTAAGATTATTACACCCAGATAAACTTCTGGCTACATGTACAAGCAAACAAAAACAAAACAAAATAAACTACAAAAAATAAAAACCTACATTCACTATTCTCAAAGGACCAAAGAAAGTGAGTTTGGGGATACCTTCTTGAAACCACTCAATGATAAGAAAAAAGAAAAAGAAAAAGAAGCACAATATACAACAAAGCAAGTACTCTGTACTCTAAGGTTGATGGAGGAAGGCCATTGGTTAAATAAAAAGAAACTGCTTGGCCCTCATTGGTTAGAAGATAGGTGGGAGGAGTAAACAGAACAGAACGCTGGGAGGAAGAGGAAGTGAGCTCAGACTCCACAGCTCTCCTCTCGGGAGCAGACGCCTCAGAGAGAAGCCATGCTCCCAGCTCCCAGGCAGACGCGCGCGATGAAGCTCCGACCCAGGATGGACATAGGCTAGAATCTTCCCGGTAAGCACACCTAGGGTCGCTACACAGATGATTAGAAATGGGCTAAATTAATATGTGAGAATTAGCCTAGAAGAGGCTAGATAGAAATGGGCCAAGCAGTGATTAAATGAATACAGTTTGTGTGTTGTTATTTCAGGGCATAAGCTAGCCAGGCAGCCGGGGTGCTGGGGACGCAGCCCCGCCGCTCCAATTATTACAACATAAGGTTGTGGAACTAAGTAAGATGAAGGATTTGCTAAATACAAAACTAAGATTAAACAACCTATATATTATGATTCCTAATCAATTTCTGATAATGACAGATTTATTTAGTTAGTTACTCAGTTTGTCTTCTGAGACAAGGAAGGTCTCATGGAGCCCAGAGTAATCTCAAGCTAGCTGTGTAGCTGAGGTTTGCTTTAAATTCCTGTCCTCCTGCCTCCAACTCCCAAACTCTAGGATTACTGGCTTTTAATCGCAGTTTAGCAGTACATTTTTCTCTTATAAGATAAATTGATAATGTAATAGAATTGGCTAGTCACAAAATGCCAGTCAAAATTGATCCCAAATGTTGTCATGTCCCACTCAGCACCAACCCTGCTGCAAACCTCGGGCATCAGTTGCAGCCTGGCTTCTGATCCCTTCATTCTCTTTGCCTTGCTCTTTCCTGCTTCCTGCTTCAGCTCTTCCCAGCACCTTTCTATGGGAGGTATGGTATTCCACTGTCCTGGATGAAACGCCTTTCTCCCTTTACTCCCTTTCTCATCCATTTCTTTTCTCCTGTGCCACAAATATTTCTATCACATACTCATGTCACACAACGTTTCATGGAAAATACAACTTTCTGAAAAACCCTCTGGGTTGTGTGAGCTCTGAAGCTCTGGGAACATTGGATTCACCTGGTGCTAAGTACTAAGAACAGCTGGCTTTCTATCCACCTACTGCTGTGGGTCAATGGTCTTGTACTTTGTAAAGATTTGTCACTTGTATTTTAATAAAATGCTCATTGGCCAGTAGCCAGGCAGGAAGTATAGGCAGGGCAACCAGAACAGGAGAATTCTGGGAAGAGGAAAGGCTCAGTCTGCAGTTGTCACCCATACACAGAGGAAGCAAGATGAGAATGCCTTGCTGATGAAAGGTACCAAGCCACGTGGCTGACACAGACAAGAATTATGGGCTAATATAAGTTATAAGAGTTAATAAGAAGCCTGAACTGTAGGCCAACCAGTTTAAAATTAATGTAAGACTCTGTGTGTTTCTTTTGGACTAAACAGCTATGGGATGTGGCGGGACAAAAAGCTTTGTCAACAACCTACCTCTGAGTTGAGTTTGCTACGGAGGCATGAAAGTATTTGTTGAATTTTCCTTCATTATATAATGATTTAAAAAAAACTTTTTGTGGGTCATAGAAACTTGTGACAAACTAAAAGTGGGCCTGGAAGGGCCTTTACTTAGTTCGATAATTTGGGCCAAATTATCAACACTTGCTGTATCATAAATAAAGCAATAATGCTACAATTTGGATCTGGAATGCCCACATCCTCCCCTGGGCCCAGGTGTAATCTGGTCTGGCTTGCACTATTCAGAAGTGACATAAACTTTTTAAGAAAGTATGGCTTAATGTGATAGTATAGGTCATGGCAAAATGTGCCCTCAAAGAAGACTGTAGGACTCTAGTCTCTTTTTCACATCCACCCACTAAGTAAACAGGCTTAGCTGCTTCCTGTCCCTACCTTAATACCACCCTGCCACAGGTCCAAAGCAACAGGACCTAGTGACCCTGGACTGAGACCTCTGAAACTGAGACAAAATACACCTCCTATATTTAAGCTGATGCCCCCAGGCTTGTGTTAGACAATGGGAAGTTGACTAACTCAAGAACAAAGATGACTTCAATTTCATGAATGTATGTCATACACTGACCTGTCGAAATACTTCATTCACAAAATTCACATAACCCCGTGTTGACAGGAGGATCCGCTGCACCATTTCATACACTGTTCGATGTTCTTCTTCAATGCTACAAAGACTGGAGTTGCTGAGTCTTCGGTCAGACAAGGTGCTGCTGTTAGAATGGCTTTTGTCCTGCTCTGTGGACCCAGCACCATCCAGCTCGGGCACCTTTTCTTGGGCTGCACCACCACCACCAGTCTGGAAAATGTCATCACATGTCTCAGCAATCCACATCCTCACTCACCAGCACCAAGTAAAATGTGAGTCTTGTCTTGCTCATTGCCTTTTGGGTTCTGTGAATATTGCGGTACTAGAGAAGGAACCTACAATCTCACATAAGTGAGCTTGTGCTCTGCCACTAATCCACATTCCCAGACTCAGGTCTTGCCTTTTTTTCAAGTACTCTGATTACCATCAACTTGCACAGGGTATCACAAGGTGCCAGAAACACGACTCTTGAAGCTCTCCTTACCAATTTTCTAATAAACCAAATAATCAGTTCTCAACTCAGTGACTTTAACAGGAAAACTACGAAGCTATTTCAGGAAAGAGGGCTGTGAAATTTTGTCAGCTAAAAAGTTTAATTTGCATTTGTGAAAATAAGTTAAGGTGTAAATGCAATGTGTGTCATCATCACACCAGAGCGCTACACTTCTCATTTACTCTACTGCCACAGAGGTGTGAAAACTTGGAAGACTGCTTATAACAAAAGCACTGAGAATCACCAGGCCCAAAAGGGGAACAGTTAACATTTTCCAACTCTTAAAACATTTTGTTCTCAGAGCCCCCAGGGGCCACATAAGAAACCAAATGATCTTGCTAGTGAAACAGTGTAGACTAGTTCAAGATGAGCCAGCCTTCTCTCCAACTAGCATTAACAGGCATGTGAATGAAGTCATTTTAGATCCTCCAGACCAGCCATCCCCAGCTAAAGGTCACCCACCCAAGAGTGCATAAAATACACAAGCTGTTTTAAGCCAGATTCTGTACCACAAATAAAATCAAAAAATAAGGTTGAAAGGTTTCTGCTTTAAGACACTACATTTTGAGGCAGCAATGAAATAACTAAAACAGCATGGAGAATTATGTAGCATCAAGTCATTTAAACATAAGCTCTGGAGCTAAAAAGATGGCTGTATAAGTATGAAGAACTAGCTCCAGAAAGAGACCTGTCTCCCATCCAGTAGACTCAGCTGAAATTCAAAGCTCTTGTTAGCATGAGTCCATCCTGCTGGTCTATGCAGACATGACTTTTAGTCCTCTGGAACATAAAAAAAAGCCTTATCAGGGAACAGTCATGCCTACCAGGACCAGGCCAGCACTACCACGGCTTGGCTCAGAAATCCACATAACACAGACTATCACTTATTCCCCATGTCAATCTCTCTACCACCCTGGTACCTCTCAACCCCACTGCTCATACATGCTCATTTTCAGGGTCAATATAAATACGGACACCCACTACCCACAAAGCAACTCTTGAGGGAATGTCTCAGTTGTTTTGTCGGTGCTGCCTGAGAGTGATGACACTCAGTTTCTCTATCTTGATCTGCCAACATGGTCCGCACATCCTACCCTTGCCTCTGCAAAGTTCAAGAGCAACAGAGAACACTACAACAGAGTCAACAAACAAATGTATAAAGTTCTGCTGGGATGTCAGCTTATGTGTGTCATTGTTCTTTCCATTCATCCCAAGAGCCTGTACATCACTGGGAGAATTGTCTCAGAATTAGTAAAAGTAATGTTTTATTAATATAACTAAAGAGTTATACAAATAAATATGCCAGCTGCCTTGCAGTCTCTCTCTTTTTTTTCAATCCCTGATGTACAATTTCAAACCAGCAGGACTAAATGACCATAAACTAAACCTCTAAACCATGAGCCAAAATAAACATTTTAAATTGACTATTTCAGGTATTTTTGCCACAGTAACAAAGATCTAAGTAACATATCACAAAAACAAGAAAATCTGTAAGAGCAGATTTACCTAGTGCTAGGAAAGCTAAGTCTAAAAGGCACATGATTAGCTGTTTCTCCCTGTCAAAAAAAAAACTAGTTTGAGACCAAGACAAGGACATTATTTCACTTGGGGAACAGAAGACCAAAACCACTTCATATTCAGCAAAAATGTAAATTCTCTTGTGAAACAGAACTTTAAAATATTTTTAATATATTTTATAAAACTTGTGTGTTGTTTGAAACAGTTTTGATCACCTTGACAAGGACAGTAACTTTTTTTGTTTTGTTTTGTTTGGTGGTTGCTGTTTTGTTTTGGTTTTGGTTTTTTGAGACAGGGCTTCAGTGTGCAATAGTACAGGCTATCCTCGAACTCACCCTGTAGTCCAGGCTGGCCTCAAATTCAGAGATCTACCTATCTCCGCCTCTGGAGTGCTGGGATTAAAAGTGTGTAACCACCTCACTTAGTTCACTCACTCTAGACCTATGATACAATATATTTTAAATTTGAAATAAAAATTTTAAGAAAATAAATATAATCATTACCATTTTCATTTCATCTTCTAACTTCCAAAGTGTGAAATTAAAGGGTTTTGTTTGGTTTTGTTCTGAGCTTTCAGCAAGCCCTTGGTTGTTCTTATTGTAATTTTGTCCCAAGATGCTTTTGAAAACAAGTTTGCCCTCTGGGTCTCCAGTAAGTCCTCTACAGCAGATCCACAGGCTCTAGATGTTTGGTAGTCCTCCTTCCATCAAGGCACTAATGACCTTGAAGTATACCAACTCTGATCTGCTTCCTCCAGCTTATGTTTCCCCAGCTTGGGTCAATGTCCTGTCACTGTCTGGAACGTCCTTGATATCAGCAAATATTTAGTAAGTGCATTATACTTGCTAGCCATGTTCTTGGGAACAAGAAACAAAAGTAATCAACCTACACAAAGCCATGACCCTTCAGTAATGTGACTGATCTCTAAGTTCTGAAAAACAGAAGTACTCTACCAAGTAGACATACTGAAGACCCTTCAACCTAAGAAGTCTTTTATCAAGGCCTTAAACAAAGGTAGACTTCTTTCTAGGAACAGCATCATAAAGCAATAGCTACCTCAGGATCCTGAGCTGCTAGTATACACCCTCTCCTGAGATACCAGAGGATATGCGAAAGCATGAGCCCACTCCATAGGCCACATCTACATAACCTGAGGGTCTTCCAGCTACTGGTGACTGATGAAGACAAGAGCCTGTGACTGTGCTCAGAAGACACAACACTTAAGCAAAGAAGGGAGGCAGGAGAGTACCCACAAGAGTACCCATAAGAGCTATCTTCTCAGAATTCTCCTTGCCCTTGAGACTGCCTTCTTGTAGCAATTCCAGTACTGCATGACAAGGTCTTCAGACCAAAGCTCCCTCTGAAACCTCAGCCCCGCAGACAAATGAGCCAGTAAATCAAGACTTTTAAAAACCACAGTTCTAAGAGTCAGTGACTTTGCTAATGTGCAAGTGTGTTTATTATGTGAGAAAAAAAAGATTTTAAACAATGGCTGACATACCTGGCTGATTTTAGGCAATACATCACCTCCATTTTTAGTGTTTTGTGTTGCAGTTAGATATTTTTTTTCCAAAAAGAAAGTTACAATCCATTTAATGAAAACAACACGCGCTGCCATGTATGGAATTTTTGTACTGTAAGTTGTTTCATTATCTCGAGTTACAGTAACATATATTGGCTTTGGTCTCAAATGGGGAATTTCTGATAGGATGGAAAAAAAAACATAATTAAGTTAGTGAATCTTAACATTACATAATCTCTATGAATGGTTTCAATTAATAAACATATATTTAGTTGTTTGAATAGCAACTAAAAATTATGACCTATAAATGTTTAAGAATAGCATCTTCCAAAAGGCTTCATTCTTTCTAATTTTGCTTTGCAATATAAATAAAGAGAGGTGGCTGTTATTATCTACATACTGCAATAGTATACCAACATGCTAATTGTTCTAATTAACAATTTTGAGGATTATTTGAGACTATAATAGTAAATATATCTTCATTTCTTGAACAGCTAATTTAATGTTATTTTATGACAGGAACAAACGTAAAAGCAAACATGAACTTTAATAAAAAATATCTAAAGTTAGTCATGGTGGCGCAACTCTGTAATCCTGACACTTAGGAAGCCAAGACTTTCATCTAAATGAACTCAGAAACTCAATCTTCATTACTTTCATCAAATACGAATTCTATATGGCTGGATTTGAGATAGGAACTTGCCATAAGCCCTACCTTGTAATTTAACTACTTCCTATATTCCTGGAGTACCTTGTTGAGGCTAAAACATTGACAATAAATAATTTTTTATTTCTTTTTAAATACAGAATTTCTACATGTAGCTAAAGTTGGCTTTTAACTCACAATTCTCCTGCCTCAATTATTTCCATGAGGCAAAAATCTCTTAGTGAGTTCACATAATTGAATTGTTCTTTAAGTAACATTATCTTCCCACAATAACATTACCATTCAATATGAACTTAGTGTGGCTATTTTGCCTAAAGGGATTATTATGAAATCTACTGTGTAGTTTCTCTGTAGATGACATCCACACAGGAATCAAAGAGCACTTACCAAGTACAGGTTTGTAGACATTGGTTAACTTAGTAAATGATGGAAACAAATGAGGAAGATAATACTTCCGAAACAATGTAAAAAGAAATTTAAAACCAGTATCTTGATTCTCCTTATTCTTCCATTCCAAACTTGCAGCCTGTAGATAATATGTGGGAAAGAACATTTGTATATTTACAGTTTAAACTAATATATACAAACATGAAATGATGTTAGATTAAGATTCCTATTGTAAATGTTTAAATGACAATATTGGTAATAATATAATGAAATCATATTTCAACAAAGCTCAAAAGATAATACAAATTTTAGGTATGGTAAACTTGGCCAAGAACCCATGACTGAGTATCACAGGCCCTAGGGTAGATCCCACTTATTTTGCTAAAGGGACACTCTATCAAACTGCCTTCTAAACACTCTTGTTTATTCCCATAGTTAGCACCTCACATCCCTCTTCAGAAAAGCTTCTTGATGTGCTAGATGGTGGTTTATACAGAGACTCACAACTGTTCAAGTACATAGAATAAGTGACTGTGCTCAGTCCCACCTAGGACGCCTGTATATATTACCCCTGTCCCATAGCTCAGGGAACATCTTGGAAGGAGGACTGGAAAACTCTAAATGTCAGAGGTCAAGAAGGACTACGACAAAATAGCTATCTCCTAGACAGGGCAGGGCATGTCACAGGAGCTGTGGTTGCCTTCACAGGGTCAAGTCAGTCAACATTCTAAAATGGACAGAGGAGGAGCTTTTGGCATGTGGTAGCTGCTGGGTGAAGGAGAGTCAGTTTTCTTCAGCAGTGTGGCCCATGGTAGGCTACCCATGGTCCAATAGATGGCCCTGCATATAAGCACATCTAGTTAAACAGCTCTAATTGTACTCAATGGGTTATGTTAAAAAAGAGGTGCTGGGTAAGCTGGCACACTCAGGAGGCAGTGGTAGGTGAAATCTAAGGTCAGCCTGATCTATATAGCAAGTTCAGGCCAGCCAGAGCTACATAGTGAGACTCTGACATTTAAAAAAAAAAAAAAGGAAGAGGAGGAAGCATGAAGTTAGAAGGATGATGGGGAAAGAAGAGACAGGAAGAGGTAGCAGAAAGAGGTATGAAGATGATATAAATATACTTCATTTGTGTATGAAATCGCCAAATGATGTAATACGTTAACTCACACAAAAAGTACTCACACCAAGTCTTGCTGAAGTGGCCCAGCAATAATGCATGCCTTGTGTTTAATGAATCACTGCAGAAAAATCACCCCAGTGAAAGCAATACAGACACACAGAAAAAAAAAGAGGCAGTGATTCTCCTTCCTACAAAAATAAACCAATCAGTGAGACAGCTTGGTTTTTCTCTGACCTGAATAACCATATATTTCAACAGTATTTGAAGAAAAAAGCAGGTTTGGTCCTCAGCAATCTTCTCTCCTGATACAGCTGGCAGAAGTGGGGTGATTTCTTCTGGGAATATTTTTGCTAAAGGGTAAAAAATAATTATGAAGTTATTCATCAATTTTAAATAGAAATTTAGAAATGGTCTCTATTACAACACATCTATCCAGCTACTGGAACTGCTCAACTGCACCCAAAACCAGCATGAACTAGGGCTTAGGGCCCAGCATAAAAGTCCATGAAGCCTTTTCTTCCTCTGGACCATTCTTTCCCATCAAATTCTGGTTTTGTTAGCCTAAAATCCAATGCAATGAAGTGTTACACAGTAAGTTCACACTTACAGGACACAGATAGACCAATGAGGCCACTACAGTCCTTCTATAAATGCTACATGGAAAAACACAGCTGGCAAAGTGAGATGAATGGCCTCTTAAAGAAACACTAGTGATAAGAACAAAAGGCGGTGGATAGGGAGGACATTTAAATTTCATTAGCTGACACAAAGCACTTGTTACTTCATACTACAGCCAACATCTGCCCCTGCATTCCACTCCTGTTTCTGTCACTTCACAAATATTCTCACTATAATTTAGTAGAAAATAGGCTCCAGGTTTTTTTGTTCTGGTTTGTTCGTTTGTTTTGTTTTGTTTTTTAAGACAAGAGTCTCTCATACAGCCTAGGCTGGTCTCAAACTTATTAGGCAATCAAGAATAACCTTAAAATCCTAATCCTCCTGCCTCTACCTCCACCTCCAAGTGCAGGTATCATAGGCTTATGCCACCACTCCATGTACCCAGGTTTTTTACTCTTTTCTGTGGTACTGTGGGCTGAACCTATGGATTCTAAATGTCTTTAGGAATCCTCTGTGAATCACAAGCAATAATCTTTAGACTTTTATTCAAGAACATCAACACCAAGGAAACCTCAAGATAAGCTCAAGAGGAGAGATGGCTCGGAAGGTAAGAGCACTTGGCTTGATGCTCTTCCAGACGACCTGAGTCTGGCTCCCAGCTCCCATGTCATATGGTCCACAACCAGTTACTCCCAGCACACATATGGCTCACAATCAGTTGTAACGGCAGCTTCTGAGGGATCTGGTGTCCTCTTCTGGCTTCCTCGGGTACCCACACACATAAGGCATACACTTATAGATACACACATAGACACATAAACACACACATACATATATCTAAAAATAAAAATTAAAAATGTCATTTTAGCATTCAGCCCTGGTAATGCTGCTTACCATCAACTACACTAGGGCTAGGGTTGATGAGTGTCTCCAGTGTGCAGGGTCCCCTGGATGACAGGACCGCTGGGAAACCAGGCACCAGGCAAGCGAAAATCAGCACCTGCTCTTCTGCACAGTTTGTCTGAAGTGCTTGAAGCCACAAAAGAAACAGTCTGATTCCTTCACATCTTATCTAAAAACAAAATTAAAATCAACAAAAATCAAACATTTAACACATATTTGTAGAAATGCATTGCAATACAGCATCAGTCTTAAGAAAAGAGAGAGAGAATAACAGGTATGGTATAGTGGTATAACATCTGTAATCCCAACACTTGGGAATCTGAGATAGGAAAATCTCAAGTTTCAGGCCAGCATGAACTTCAAAGCAAAATCCTGCCCACCCCGCAAAAAGAGAAAGGGAAGTAGGGGAGAGAAGGGGAGAGGATAAAGATATCAAGTACACAAGCTCTTCTCTCATTAAGAAGCAAGAATGTAATGTAGTACAATGGCTAAGAGACTGGGCACCAGCGCTAGGCAGCCTGGGTTCAAATTTACCCTCTACTACCGTCTAGCTCTGATAGATGGAGAATCACTTGACTTCTCTATGTCTTAGTTGCCCATCTGCGAAATGGGAAGACTGACTGAGCTAACACGCATAAGGCACATCGAGCAGTGCCTGGCTCCCACTGAATTATCAATAGCACTTCATTCTGTGAGACAACACTATCCCGATCATCAATGCTCAATTGTCCATAGGAGCAATGGCAGGGATATTCTCTCTCCACATTTACACTATGAGATAACAGAGCAGAATTTCAGTCATGTTAACAAAATGTTCCTTGGAGCTAAATGGGACTCTGAAGACCTGGGTAAGAGACATAGGGCTGTTTCCCTACTTCCCTGCCTGTGTCAATCCTCAGCGTCCTTGCACACCTTCACCATGATCCGAATGGTGAGCAGCACCCAACAGAAGTGAGCAGGCGTGTCCCTTTTCACTCTACACTCACTTCCGTCTTACCCTAGCTTCAGAATTCAAAGACACACATTCCTCCTTTTCTGTCCTAAATGATTAAAAAGATGTCAATAAAAGAAAATACATAAGTAAATGAGAATTTAAAGTGTGTTATCAGATGCAAATGAAACATGCTGGAAGAGTTCCCACAGTCTTTAATTACAACCATCCATAACTCAAGTTCCAGACAATCTAGTGCCCGCTTCTGACCTCTGGTGGCACCAAGCACACATGTGTTGCACATACAAACAAGTAGACAAAACACTCAAACACTTACAATAAAATAAATCTAAAAAAGTTTAAAGAAATATTCCATTATACTTTCATCAAAAATGATTACCTTAATAGAATTTCCAGTGTGTAGAAGCTTCTTTAAAGTTGAGCCTAGAAGTTTAAAACAACTGGTTAGAAATAGAGTATATTAAAAATATTTAAGGTATATGAGGGAATATTTAATATCTACATTTATTTTATTTTATTTTTATTTATGTGTGTATATATGATGCATGTATGCATGCATACACAGGTATGTGTGTGCACTGTTAGTGCAGCTGACCTCAAGAGGACACTGGATTCCCTGAAACTAGAATTACAACCAGTTGTAAGCTACCAAATGTGAGGGTGCTTGGAACCAAACCCACATCCTCTGTAAGAGCAGCAAGTGTTCTTAACACAATAGTACTCAAAATAACTGTTTAAAGATCAGCTTTAGAAAGGAAAAAAAAGCATGCCTTTTCAAAAACGTTAAGACTGATCATCAAAGACAAACAACCTCACAGAAAAAAAGATAACTGCTTCAGTCTGCAGGATTATGCGGTGAAATTTTAGTTAACCAATCAAAAGGTCAACCCACCAGAAAAAGTGTATTCTGGTGGAGGCAGGCCCAGATGCTGGGAATACCGAATTTTGAATAGCGGTTGTTCTGCTGTGAATCCCTTGTGAAGATATAGCACTCTACTTCTCTAATGGGACTTGTCCCAAGATTCAGCAGTCTACTAAATTATTGGGCATAATTTTCCCTGTATACTAGTATTTCAGGTGACTTTATCCCCCAAACTGTGGGACCCTGGTGAGAAAGTTAGTCACACAATCAAAAACCTTTGTTTTCAAGTCAAATCTCTGCTCCATTCCCTGAGATAAACTTAGAAGCCAGCTCCCTGCAATTATCTTTTATTTGTAGAACATTTGGCCACAAGAGGAGTCTTCCAAATAGATCACATTTGGGACCTTCAAAGATAGGCACATCTGAGCTTGTTGATTTATTGTCCTCACAGATGAGGAGGTGCCCCAAATTCACCGCAGCTGATCTGGGAAAGTGCAACCTCAGGTAAACACCCCCCACAACTCTAAAAGGTCATTAAGTCCTTGCACCTACTCTCACTTTGGTTTATTGATACAGGATCTGAGTCTAGGAAATTAACTGCGTGTGTCTTAACCCTGAAAGATAACAGGAAAAGCTATTGATCATTTAAGCAGTTCTGGAGAAAAGTAATTCTTTTCACAAAGGCGGCATGGGGACAAATGCCGCTGTTTGGCATGGGTGACTGGAAATTGTCAGACCCCGGATTTTGCACTATATAGCCATAAACTCCCATTGTTCTAACCACTTACGGTGATAGATGCAATTCTTATATCTGAGAGATTCCCTTCCTCCCCCAGCCAGCTAACACTGGTGAAAATGCATGTCTTCTTCCAGTTTATGCCGGTCATCAAGGCTACCCTGAGTTCTCAGGTTCCATAACTCAGGCGGGTTGAGTGAGGCTCCTCCCTTCTTTACATTTTATGAATCACAGACCTCTAGTGTAATTAATCACTTTAAGAATGTAGCACACGAATTCCCCTTTTCTTCCCTTCTTAGAATTTAAAGCTCTCTAACTCAACTTTTTTGCCTTAGTGGTGCCTGGGTGCTTTTCTAGCCACACCTCCCTGGAGCCATAAAGAAAGTTTGTGCAGCTCTGTCTTATGACCCTGAGAAATTCAAGCCTTGTAACCTTGCTATCAGCAGAGAATTGCTGATTGAGTGTTTATATAGACTGGAAACTTTGGAGCACAGCAGAACAATAAAGAAACTGAATCAAAAACATGGAGTGAGAGATTCATTTGCCCTCAGACATCTTGAGTCCTTCACTGGCTGCTGCTTCCTCTCTGAACCCTGAGAAGGCATTGGGGCTGGCCCCCAAAGGGCTCTTGCTAGATAAGTTTAAAGATAGTAGTACTTTGAGTATGGGAGACTCTTAACCATTCTTTATAAAAAGTCCAGATGGCTGACATTCCTATTACAGAGAAACTTGCTCACCCATTCCACTGCTCTTCTATTCACAACAGCTAAAACATGGAACCAGCTTAGATGTCCATCAACTGAGGAATGGTTAATAAAAATAAGGTACATATGTACAATGGAATATTATTCAGTTTTAAAGAAAAAATTGAAATGTGCCAGTAAATGAGAAGAGCTGGAAAAAATTAGACTGAGTCACCCATGCCCACAAAGACAAAAATTTCATGAAATAAGAGGCGTTTGTGGTCCCCAAACAATACAAGTTGTTGCTATTCTTCTTAGTTGTCCACCAGAACTAGATGATAACACCCTATTACTGAAGATATCAGATGCTTTGGATGCAAGAAATAGAGAAATCAAGCTGGTACTGAGCCAGGAGCTTCCTCTTGGTTGGGTAGCTTTCACAGTGTCTCCTACCTCCTAAGAGTGCTGAGATCACAGACACACATACTGTCAGGCCGACTTTTCTGTGTGCCCTGTGCATATGAACTAGAGTGGCTGCTAACTGCACAGCAGTGGGCACATCTTGTCTGACAGGGCAGCATTCTAGTCTATAAGGCTTATGGCTAGTTAAGACTATTGACACCTTTTCTCTTCCAGGAGTCTGAATAGCACCTTCCAGCACTGTGGTCTACACTGATGTACTTTTGGGAACAGGGAGTTTCTGGGGCTTCTCTGACCGACAATTTACAAGGAGGTATTTGACACCTCACACTGGGAATGTTTTTTGGTATACAATGTCTTCTGAGGGTAGCATTATCCAGCTATGTAGGACTGCTCCTTTCTCTTTCCAGAAACTTGCATTTTTTAAGATCTTGGCCATATCTCATAGTCTAACATCCCTGAAATGTATTAAGGGAGGGCTGGAGAGAGAGCTCAGTGGCTCAGTCTGGCAGGGAACTTTCTCTGTAGACCAGGTTGGCCTTGAACTCTAGAGATCCACCTGCCTCTGCTCTGAGTGCTGGGATTAAAAACATGTACCACAAATGAAAATCTTTTAAAGATATTTCAAAAATATTTTCCAAGCTAAAAGTTCAGATAGATGTTTTTAATGTAATGCTAACATTGCAAAGCTCTTTCCTATTTTTGATTTTTGTTTAAAAATTTGTTCTCTGCCTCATATCTCAAACTAGTAAAGTGATCAGTACCACCACATACCATCAGTTGTCCTTTCACAAGAATGGTCAGGGGCACAAAAACGCCCTGGGCTGCTGATTTGCAAAGATCATGGCAAGTGGCAAATGGAGGAAGAACATAGAATTTTCTGACATTTCTACATCCACTGCAAGTGCAAAGGAACAGTGGTCCACTGAAGAAAGTATAATTCACCAAAAAAAATTGTTTAAAAATGGATCCAGGACCTAAATGTGAAACATAACCATAAAATTGCTGGAAGAAAATACACCAGGTGTGATATTGCACTTGGCAGACAGAAGCAGGTGGATCTCTGTGAATTCCAGACCAGACTGTCTTCTGAGTAGGACTGGGGGTGGGGAGCATATGAGCAAACACAGGAGATCGTTATGATTTTGTATTAATAACAGACTCCTATCCCATGCCTATCTAAGGAGCTAGTGGCAACTGATGGCTGGCTAGGGAGGGACAGTCAATTCTTCAGGGATGTGGGCCCTGAGAGGCTACCCATTCTTCAGTGTGTTGTGTGCTCCTTCACCTATGCCCTTACAGGAAGCAGTAAAAAGATTTAGCAATTTTTTTTTTTAAAAGAGAAATAGAGTATATGAAGGAAAGGTGGTTGGGCAGATAAAGGAGGAACTGGAGGGAAGAAATAAGAAGTAATCTTTGATCCAAACATATTCTATACATGTATGAATATTAAATAAAATATTTTTAAAGATTTCTAGATATGACAACAAGTAAAACCCATAAAAATGGTAAATTGGACTTCTCCAAAAATTAAAAACTTTGTTCAAAATATAGAGAAAATATTTCCAAGGCATATATCTGATAAGACTTCCATCTAAAATATTGGAACCCCAAAAACAAAAATTGAGAAAATAAAACAATACAACTTTTAAACAGGTAGCCTTGAAACACATGTTACCAGAGACACACAGAAATTCTATGAACAAAAGTTTAAGACCATAAGTCAATGAGATAGCACAGCCAAAAACTAAACATTGACCGTAACACCTGCTATTAACTGGGCCATGACACTACTGAGGACATAAAATGATATAGCCACTCTGCAAAAAAAACAAAAAACAAAAAAACAATTTATCAGTTAAGTGTGCTGTAGAGGAGATAGGAAAGCTTATTCCTACCTAAAGACCTGCACACAAATGTCTAACAGTAGGTTTATGCATAACAGCCAAATATGAGAATCAACTGAACACTATATCAGCAAGAGAATGGATCAACAGATGACAGCAAAGCTATACAATGGAATACTGTTCTACTCAGAAATGAAAAGGAATGAACGATTAGTACATAGCATACAGATGAATCTCAAAGTAAATAGAGCATAAAAGATGCTGTGCTAGCTAGTTTTGAGTCAACTTGATACAAGCTATTGTCATTTGAGAGAAGGGGACCTCAATAGAAAAAATACCTCCATAACCTCAGGCTGTAGGCAAGCCTATAGAGTATTTTCCTAACTGGTGGGAAATGCAGGATGGACCAGCCCACCCTGGCTGGTGGGTCCTGGGTTCTATAAGAAAGAAGGCTGAGCAAGCCATAAGGACCAAGTCAGCAAGAATCAACTCCAGTGTGAGTTCCTACCTTGGCTTCCCTCAGTCATCCAGGATATGTAAGTCAAATGAACCCTTTCCTCCCCAAGTTGGTCATGGTATTTCATCACAGTAATAACTTTAAGGCAGATACCAAACAAACAAAAAGAACAGTGCTGCGTGATTCCATCTAAATAAGACTAAAAAATACAAAGACAGACCAGTGGTGGATCTGAAGAAATCCAACTTATCAAAATTTTTCTTTTACGGGTTTTACTTTCAGTGGCATACCTTGGGGATCTTGTGAAACTGTATTAGTGGTTGAGGCTGAGGTAGGTAAGAGGGGAACAGAAGAGCTACTAAGGAGGTTGAGGAAATTTGGGGTGATGCTACAATCATGATAATTTTTATATATTCTTTTTATTCTACCCCCAATAAAACTGTTTTATAAAAATAAATAATAAAAATCAGAACAGGTGACCTAGAAGTGAGTAGGTAAGAAGAGACCAGCAGGATGGAGACTTGTGATCAGACAACTATCTATTTGATAAAAAAAAAAAAAAAAAAAAAAGTCAGGAAGCCGCTTGAGGATGGAGGAGAGGGGCAATGAGCTTATGGGCAACAAGGAGAAGGTCTGAGAAAGAATGAGACCATGAAGAAAAAGAGAGATGAGACAACATTGTACCGAGCTGGCACAGTCCAAGGAGAGGGGTGTTGAACCATTTCTGGAATTAGCACTACATAAAGAAAGGCCATGACCTCATCTCCATGATCCTGACACAGAAGTGTCTCCAAGAAAAGTAAGGTTTCAGATGACCAAGGTGAAAGAAAGGCCAAGCTGTGGGGCTGTTGCTTAACCAAGAGAACTGGCTCCATGCTCACGGGAGCATGACTTATAGCCACTCCCTCACGAACTTAGATAAGTAGGGTCCCCTGGTTAGCTCATCCTAGCCATGACGATGCTACCTGAACAGCCAAGAATGCTGCACACAGTTACTCTCATTACCACACCACAGAATCTCACAAGTCCTCAGGGTACCTCTTTAGATGATATTTTTCAGTTTTAATTTTTTTTATCTATTTTAAATATGTAATTGCAAAGCTTCGAGAAGTGCTAGGGCAAACCTTCTCAGACATAAGGGATTTTTTTTTCTGCTTATTTGAAAGATTTAAAGATTAAGGAGCTCTCTCAGAATTAAGATTCAGTCACTAAGTTCTGTGGTTGTATTTAGTGTACATGCTTTATATTCTTTAAATTTAAATTTGTAACACAAAACTCAAATTCAGTTTCTGTAAGAGCTTATTACCTGTTTTCATAGAAATAATCTTAAATTAAAATTAGAACTCTGAATTTTGGACTATCTACTGATGATGCTATCTTTTTTCAGGCCAGGAAGCCCTGCTCACCTTTCAAGGCTCAGGTGGAAGTGACTTCTCTTGAAGGGTCCCCTCAACTTCTCCTGGGTAGACACATCTACCTTTCTTCTCCCTTGCACTATAGTCCCATCACAGCAACAATTCAGTGTAATTACTTTTCTCATCTATCCACAGGGTGAGAGGCCCATCCAAAGCAGGAATGGTGACATGCTCTTTGTTTCTGCCCCCAAAGGTTTGTCTCTCCCTCAATAAATAGTGAAAGAAATTATCAAATAAAGAAGATTCCATTCCAAGGGTTATGGTTTCCTCCAGTGTAGCCAACGGGTAAAGAAGAAAAACGTATCAAGTGACAGTCTTACAGGTAGGACGGAAGCAGGAACTTTTTATAAAGCACATGCAGAATTCACAGTGGGTTCCCTGGAATGGGGCAGTTTGGACATTTTAAATTGCAACTGTGCCGTCAGATGTAAAGAGCTGGGTAGAAAGGACAGCAATGTTACTTGCTTTATTTCAAGTTCCCTCTGGCTGCCACATCTTAAAGCATTCAAACACAGAAATATTGTATCAATAATGCAGGCTTAAAGAATAATTTTTTGGTAAGGAATAATGTACAATTATTTAAGAAAATAGATCAGTGCTTCTCAACTTGATGTGCACAGGAATCCTTTTGTGTCTCTTGTTAGAAGACCACCATGCTCCTCAGTAGGTCAGAATGAAGTCTGAAATAGTGCATCCTTAGCATGTTCCTGGGGAGCCCGTGGACTATACCTCAAAGGGCACATTTAAAATAACATTTAAGTTTTTTTAATTTATTAACTGAAATTTTAATACACATATACAATCTCTTTTCCCACTACCTGCTGGACCCCTCCCACTATAGCACCTTTGCTTTCTTTAATCCCCTGCTTCATCCATCCTATAATATTAACAGACTTGATCTTGTGCAGGTCTTGTGCAGGCAGCTGCAGTCACTGTGAGTTCATGACTACAACAGCCCTCCTCCACTTCTGACTCTTACACTCCTTCCATCCCCTCTTATAAGCTATTTCCTGTGCCTTTCGTGGGAGAGATATGGTATAAATGATGCATTTAGGGCTGAACACTCCAATCACTTATTCTCTGTACTCAATCAGTGGTGGTGGTGAGAGAGATTTTCTTACAAAGTCCAAGTTGGACTTGATTTAAATTACCATACCTTTAATTCTTTCTATACGCTACTTTGATAGTATTAGTTAAATGAAGCATTGTTGGGACCTCAACTGGTAGAAATTCATATCACTAATACATTGTTTGCTTTCATCTTACCTATACTCTGGTAATGCCATCGAAAGAAAATTCGTTCAGGTAGAAACTGCAGTATTTTCTACAAAATAAAAATTTTTTAAAAATTAAGTAAATTTTTGTGATAGACCCATATTACTCACCTCCCCCTCAACACACAAATAAATAAATAAGTATGATATAAATATAAATTTAATATGTATGTAAGAATCTCATAAAGTTAATGCCTACAAGTAGGTCTGTTGTTATTGTTATTGTTGTTGTTTTGAGACAGGGTTTCTCTGAAGGTTTGGAGCCTGTCCTGAAACTAGCTCTTGTAGACCAGGCTGGCCTCAAACTCACAGAGATACTCTTGTCTCTGCCTCCCGAGTTCTGGGATTAAAAACCTGTGCCACCACTGCCTGGCCAGTTTTAGGAATGTACTTATGAAAGCATCCATTAGTGGACAACAAATAAATTTCAGAAGAAAAAGAAGACTGGGCTAATAAAGTAGTCCTCATTACCAAAAGCTGGCTGTTGAGCGAGGGAGAGTCAGCTGCTCTTCAGGGATATGGTTCCTGGAGACTACTTATTCTCCAATGGATGGTCCTATGTCCATGCTCATACAAGAAACACTACATGATCCATGGATTTAAAAACAGAGTATACAAAGTTGAGAGGTGAAAGGGAGGAGTTGGAGGAGAATTTGAAAATGGAATGGATTTAATCAAAATATATTATATTCATTTATGAATGAATTCCCAACCAACTTTAAAGATTTTATTATGCTTACAAAAGAAAAAAACTAAAGCCCAAATCGATGAGAATGACCTTCCTCAAACCCCCACTCTAGAATACATTGTGGTAAATTATACTTAAATTATAAGATTCCTTTTATTTTTAATATAACTAGTTAAAATATTTGGAGAACAACCATGGGGATCAGTTTTCTCTTTACACAGTGGCTAACAGAGATTGGAGTAAGTTGTCAGGCTGGCAGCAAGTACCTTTGCCCACTAAGCCAATTCATTGTCCTAGCAACTACTTTTCTTTTAATATAGAAAACTGCAAATAGTTAAAATATATCTATTGGCATTGGTAATACATTATCATTGTGAGTTGAAATTCCTATTCTTGCATCCCGCAGATGCATGAGTCTATAATCCCAGCATTCTTACAAGGATATGGGAGGCAAGCAGAATCTCCGGAAGTTATCTTGCTAGTTGTGAACAACAGGAGAGCCTGCCTCAAACTAGGCAGAAAGGAAGAACCAGCAACTGTCCATTGACTTCCAGGTGCACACTGTGGCATGTGCACACATATAAGCATGCAAAAGTGAACACTTAAACACACACACAAACATCATACACAGACACTACAATGTTTTTAATGTAATTGGCCCCCCATAAACTCATACAGAGTGGTACTATTAGGAGGTATAGCTGTGTTAGAGTAAGTATGGCCTTGTTGGAGGAAGTGTGAAACTGTGGGGGTGGGCTTTGCGGTCTCATATATGCTCAAGCCACGCACAGTGTCGCAGACCACTTCTTGTTGCCTGTGAGTCAAGATGTAAGAACTCTCAGCTCCTTCTCTAGCACCATGTCTGACTGCATGCTGCCTTGTTTTCCAATGTGACAATAATAGACTAAACCTCTGAACTATAAGTGAGTCACTCCATTTAAAGGTTTTCCTTTATAAGAGTTGCTGTGGTCATGGTGTCTCTTCACAGCAATAGAAACCCTAAGACATACATATACACATACATGATTTTTTTTTTAGACAGTATCTCTTGTGACCCTGGCTGTCCTATGTATACTAGGCTGACCTTGAACTCACAGCAATCGACCTGCCTCTGCCTCCTGAGTGCTAGGATTGAAGGTATAGGCCACCATGCACAGCTTTAAAAATAAAATACATTTAAAAGGGAATCAGAAGATGTGAAAGTCAGTTATTACCACTGACAGTCTCACAGTTGCTATGCAAGTGATCTCCCACTGAGCCACATCTCATCCCTAAAAAGTCAGTTCTCTATAATCCAGTTTCTTAAACTACGAGGTGCAATTCCAAATAACATCACCTAACAGTATAGGAGTTACAAAACGTTGGCAAAAGTACAAGGTTTCTGAACAAGCAACAACCAAAAATTAATCCAAAATCAAACATGTAATGAATCTAAGGTATTGCTAGCAGTGCTTGACCAAGATGCACTGCACAACTTTATTGCAGACTTGGCTCAAAATACACAACACACACATGCTGTACTTTGCATGCAATGCCAGCAAATGCTACCCTAAACCCCACAGCTCCGATCTGAGTCTATTGTATGTTTATGAATTGTAGTGCTTTTACAAGTACACAAAGTTTTTTGCTCCTATGGAAACATAATGGTTTAATTATGGGCATCAAAGATTTTCACTATTTTCCCACAAACATTCCTCAGAACATAAGCATTAAATTTGTGCATCTTTGGTTTCTATTGCATTGATGAGCTTGATTCTTTAAACTGTTGGTTAAGTTCAAAATCATTATATGAATTTTGGCACAAGATTAGGACAGAATTCCTAGCAATTTCTGAAATGGCCTTACTGCATTTCTGCTACGTTACAGTATGCACTTATGCAGACATAAAGTAAAAACAGTGATCAACTGTGAAAAACTGAAGACTCTATCTTACTTCAAATATTTTGTTAAAATCTAATTCTTAAGGTAAAAATGAGCACATCTGTCTTATCATTATGCAAACATGATTCCATCTCTAATAAATGGCAAAACTACATGTATATCAAACGATTATTTTAAAATAAGTTTCTTTGTGATCTATTATCACAAAATGTTTCATTGGGATACCCATTTTATTCCTATATACAAAAGGGGATCATGAATAGAAAAACTTTAGGAAGTCCTGCTTTAGAGGATGACAACAAAAACTCACATGAGCCTTGTCCTACCAAAAGGACATAATCGTTAATGCCCTTTGTACCCACACACACCCATGCCCTGCCACACCCTGGAATACAATACCTGGGAGCCTACAGAGAGAAATAACCACAGCCAGCTGGAAAGCATCATCTGCACCAACAACTCTGGAACTGGACTAACATGAAGGATGCCATGTCTAGGCTGCTGCCAAACCAACAACTCAAGAGCCACCTATACCCACAGGAGGGCCAAGGTCAGTCAGTGTCTTTGGTAATAAATTAACAGTAATCTTTGCAAGATAAGGTCTTTGGAAAATATGTTACAATTGGGGTTATTAGAAACAATTGGCAGAAGAGGAGCACCAGGGAAGGAATGGGAAGAAAACAGGATGAGCAGGGGAGCCATTGCCAGCTGAGAGGGAGCTCTAAGGCAAAGTCCGAAACAAATAGAATTGAGACTCTATGTTCCAGGCTCATGGAAAGAAAAGTATAACCAGGGCTGGAAAGCTGAAGGCACTAACAGCCAACGGTACCAGTTGATGCCACTCTTGTAGTAGGTGGCAAATTCTTGAAGAAGGATCTGAGCAATACATCTTTTTATGTGCACAGTAATATTTAAATTATTAACTAGTCGTTCCCATCAGATGAAAAGGCTGAAACGCTGAAGAAGTGTGTCCCACTTCAGGAGCCCAGCGTCCCCCAAGCTTTGTTTCCAAAGTAGCTTCATATGAAGCCTGTTGCTCTGAGGTCTTCCTGTGCTTTGCTGCCTGCTTCCTGAGAGTTCATTTTGTCTGAGCAGATGGCACACCTTCTTCTGCATTAGCCTTTAAAGGAAATTCCCAGCTACAGGGCAGGATCACCTTTGGATACCATTATTCAAGAAGATGCTAAGTGAATTAATGATTCAGGGTAGATCTTGTCTTAATCTAGATTAATGTCTGATATATCCTTTGCTTTCCAGACTTTTAACTTTTAACAGAAACCAAACTGGCACTGAGTCACATTTTTCAGTTTCCAAAACACAGATTTATATTCCTCGCTCAGTTTTCTTTTATTAATATATAACAAAGAAAAGCACTGTTTAATATAAGAAAACAGGCTGGGCGGTAGTGGCACACGCCTTTAATCTAAGCAGGCAGAAGCAAGCAGATCTCTAAGCAGGAGGCTAGCCTGATCTAATGAACAAGTTCCATAATGGCCAGGGCTACACAAAGAAATCCTTTCTCAAACATATTTATATATGTGTGCGTGTATTTATGTAAGCATGTATATGTGTGCATATATATGTATATATTATATGAAGAGTATTGAGTTCCACAAGTTGTCCTCTGTCCATGGTACATGTACTAACACAAACACTTGCGCGCACACACACACACATAAACAACATAATTTTTTAAAAACAATATATCCCCAAATGACAGAATTTAATACAACAATTCAGAGACTGAAAGAATCCCTCACTGTCACTTCTTTCTGTAATAACATTGTGATGGCTGGTTTTTATAGATTAAATCCTATGTGGGTCAATAAATATAAAGCCAAACACCACTACCTAGTCTAAATGCTAAGCCTGTGCCTCAGATGTCCCAGATGAAGCCTACTTTTGGTGAGGCAAATGCAATCTGGCATTTCTTGTACTGCAGCTGATACTCTAAGCTACACTGCTGTGAATGTCACATAAGCTATTGACATCCTGTTTGTAGTTTCACTGGAGAATAAAATAAAAAAATATTTCAAGAAAGCCACACAGTGTGAATAAATATTACTTTTTCTGGAAAACACATGACTCTGTTTAATGCTCAGTCTCAGCTGCATCTATATGGTAATCCATTACAGCACACTCAAAATCGAAATTAGGTATTACTACCGATCAGCACATCAGGGAATCTGTCGTTCTTTTAACTGATTATCCACAGCTACTTTTTCTTCAGAACCCACTGCATGACCAGGAATAATATGAAACGTAAGTCGGAGTTCATACAAGATGCCACAGTGAACTTTAAAACTCCAGTCTTCATTTAGTTTAGATGGGAAACTTTTTTCCCCAAATTATTACCAGATGATTGCAGTATATTCAAAGTTGATTCACACTTGACTGCAAGTCTACATGGAAAGCATGGCAGTGAAGAATGAGGAAGATATTACATATTAATACATACCAGTTAATCTACCTGAAACAACC